GAGCCACGTTCAGCCTCCTGCTGTGGGGGAGACCCTGTCACTCTCCTCAGCAGGTCAGGGGACATTGCAGAAGCACCACAAGGGTCTCTCAAGTTTTTTGCTCCAGACAGTGGAGACTGTCTGGCTCAGACATATGCCTGGGAAGAAGGGAGATGGTCATAGGTTGCCTTAAGAGTATAGAAATTTGGCAGAAAACAACTGCCCTTGTGTTCCATCTGGTCCTCAGAGATCAGAGGGCTGGGTGCAGCTGGGCTTCGTTACTGCTTGGAACAGATCAGGGGCTCTTAAGTCTGGTCATGTTCAGTAAGAACTTTCACAAATGCAGATTTGTGACTAGTGTAGTTTATTGAAGCAACAGGCTGTAGGTTCTCGTGAGATTGCTGGTGATAAATGTACTAGATCTACAAAATATAAGTGTATAGCAAGCCCTGGGTACAAGTGTTCCTGGGTATGCTCCAACACAGTCGGAAGCACAAATCTTACTAGACAAGCGTCCCTGCTTTGGGATAGAGAGATGAGCAAGCCTATTGACTCGTCTCATCCTCTTCACAGAAGGTTTCAAATGTCAGATTGATCCTTTTGGTAGAAGTGGAGGAGTTGACCATTGTCAAATTCCCTGTTATGCCATCATAAATGGTGGAGGGGCAGCCACATGTAAACAAGGGATATCAAGAGCCTCCATTACAAAGGCTGTGGGACTTGCACAGGGTGACACCTCAGTCCTTCTTCCACCCATCTGATTGCAGCAATAAGGGTCATCTGGCCTGATAACCTGGTAATCTATGGTAATCCCTTCATCACATACCTCATGGCCCATCTCATGGCTTTAAGCCCCATTCCTAGGAGTGGAGGAGCAGGAAACTGAAGAGTCCTCCCCATTGTGCCAGATGAGCTGTGGGTAGACCTGGATAATATTGCTGGTTTGAATTGCAGATGGGTTCTCACCTCTGCTTTGCTCTGAGACACGTTACCAGGGCGGCCAGATGTGCAATTCCCCCCCTCTGTGAGAACTCAGATCCTGCAGCTGCTGCCTCCACTTGTCTCAGGGGTTGTTGAAGGAGACGAGGGCAGCAGCAGGTGCTTCCTTCTCAGAAAGGATTCAGAGCAAGCTTCCCGGGAGTGTTGACCTGGGAGATGGAGCAGAATCCCTTGAGTGCCAAACCTCCCGGCTCAGCTTGGTTAGGGATGAATCACTGCTCTGCTGCACTGTTGGCAAATGCCACGGAGCAGGGCAGGGACCTGTGTTTCTGAGACCTCTGTCTTGGGATCAGAGCAGATTTTGTAAAACTTGGGTTCATTGGCTGATGAAGAAGGAAAGGCCTGCAGTACTTCTTTGCCCACGGTGTGAGCCTGTGTGTGAGTCTTTGTGTGTGGGAGAGTGGAGAGAGCAGGAAACATCAGTGGAGTCTGGGTGTCTGCTGTAGGAATGGTTTCTTGGTTTTGACATCGGACATACTCGTCTCCTGTGAGGACCTCAAGCTTGCTGTGTGCTGTCCTTCGTCAACAATGATTCTCAGCCTGGTCAAGGTGCTGTGAATGCAGAGTGGGAGAAAAACAAAACAGGGATTAGTCACTAACAGGGATAACGAGGTGTTTTCCTAATGCTATTCATCTTTCTGCTTGCAGGAGAACTCCGACACATTACCAAGCTGAAACCTTGGAGTCTTTTTGATGTGCTTGTGGAGAAGTACGGTTGGCCTCATGAAGATGCTGCACAGTTTACAGATTTCCTGATCCCCATGCTAGAAATGGTCCCAGAGAAACGCGCTTCAGCTGGAGAATGCCTTAGGCATCCGTGGCTGAATTCTTAGCAGAATCTCCCAGATGTAAAAAAAAAAAAAGCCAGCAACCACTTCCAATGCGTTGGACCTAAATGGTGACTGTCACAAAATCTTTAGCAGGATCACACGTGAGCTGGCTTCAATCCTCAGACCTTTATTTTGCTTGAGGTACTGTTTGACATTTTGCTTTTTGTGCACTGTGTTCTTGGGGAAGGGTAGTCTTTTTGTCTTCAGCTAGTAGTTTACTCACCCACTTTCTTCAGAAAACACTTAACGTGTCTTTAAGCATTGTTTCTTGTGTTGTGTGGCATTCAGATGTCAGATTTTTGAACAAAGGAAACTTCCCCCCATGTGTTTTGGCAAGTTTTGTAACTATTTATGAAAAAAAAAAATATTTTAGCTGATGCATATTATATAATTTACAAGTGTAAGAAATTTATCAAGTCAGAACTGGGTTAACGGCGAGGAATTGTACAATTTTATCTTCTGGCAAAGGGACATCATTCTTGTATTATAGTGTATGTAAATGCACCCTGTAAATGTTTATTTCCATTTAAATATGGGACTGGGGACTCAATTTCAGAGTAAAGCGACTTAAGTTTTAGAGAGCTTTATAGCAAACCAATTGCATGTAGTGGACTTTAAACTGCTTTAAGGAATTGTGTAAACTTTCTATTCTGTAGCAGTTCCCGTTCATTGGATTTTAAACAAAGTGGCTCTGGTTTACAGGATTTCATTCCCCAAACGGCACTTTAAAGGAAGGCTAGACTTCTTTCTAATAAAGTATGCATTATCATTTAGCAATCCCTTTTAGAACTTTTGCCTATTTTAAGTGCTTTTAAGAAAAGAAAAATAGCAATTTCCCTACAATGTGATAGTGAAGACATGGTACCATATGGTGTTGCCTTTTTATAAGCACTGTAAGTTGTACTATACCTTAAGAAAAAGAAAAAAAATTAAAAGTAGAGCATGAGAACCACTCTCTGTGTAGAATTACTGATCTTTTATAATAAAAGTGTGTGCTTGGCGTCAGTTAAGGAAGGATATAGCTGCAAATATTTACAGGGCAGTGGGTAAAATAATCCAAGAAGCGAGATCATGCTCATTCCATTCATAGCTTTACATGTTTCTAAAACAAATTGCACTAGCTTTATTCTTTCCCATCCGTAGACATACGACTGCCCATTGTAAGTTGCACGCAACAATTACGTGTTTCCTAGGAAAGGCTGCATAGGCTGAAGCTTATAGGCAATACAGATTTTAGAATGTACAGTATGGAGGTGTGTTTGGGCCTCTTTTAGAAGTCAGTGGGATGAATGTAAGCTTACTCCTGATCTTCATGTAACTACGGTGCCACTTTTTTTCTTGACTTTGTCCATATGAAATTTATTCACATGCCTTTGCAATAACTAGATTGTGAGAAGATAGCCCCATGCTGTAACAATAACCAGTTGTTTGAGGTGCTTGCAGTTGTCTAATTAAAGTGTTTTGTTTTTTCAGACAGTGTTGCTGGTCATTGGAATCTTTGCCTAGCCAGGACTCAGCTGCTGTGCTGGAGGGGTGGGGGGAGGGGGTTGGCATAACCTGGCCAGAGAAATGCAGCTTCTTGTGTTGGTTTATGAAATACCTCCCCTGGTGTCAGTGCAACCCGAGGGGCCCTGTGGCAGGAGAGGCTGGATGAAATGTGGCAAAACCCAACACGAGTCTTTCCTACCAGCTGTTTAACTCCTGTCACAAGCGAAGGGCTGGGGCAGCCACTCCTCCAGAGAACTGCCAAGGCCCAGGGCGGGAGAAGCTCATCCAGTGCTGAGGTCCTGACAGCAGTTGGGTTTCAGGACCACGTGCCTTCACCCCTAACCCTGGAACTGCTTTTAATGGCTGCAAGGACAACCCTGGTGAGAAGGATGATCCCACAATGGACTCAAACTGGAGGTAAAAATTATGTTCAACTTCCCAGCCAGCCTGGCCCCTGCAGTGCCCATTGCTGCAAGTTAGAAACGTGTTCTTGAATACACACAAAATGCTGGCACTGGATTAAAGTGCCAGATCAAGCCAAGGCAGGCAAGTGAGCACAACAGGCACAGCTCTCCCCTCTGGCCTGGCCATGGCACTGCAGCAGCACTTGAGGCACTGAGGCCTAGTCCCACTGCACCCCAGTGCAGCAGCTCCTTGTGCTGCACTAAGACCTTGCCCTGCACAGCGTGTGTTTACACTCGAAATGATGATGTCACTTCGTGGAGGTGTGGAAGCAGGAGCACACCACCAGTTCTGAATAGTGGGCTTGAGAGGTCAAGGTGTATTTTTTTCAAAATCAGTGATGAGCAACTCCTAGCTGGAGTGGCTTCAGTTTTTCTGCTGTTGATGGCCTGATCCTCTGCTACTTCAGGCTAATGCAAAACATAGTGCACTCCTCATAGTGTGTGTTCTGCAGAGCCAGCAGATGTTCAGGAAAGCATTTCTATGTATGTGATTTTAACTAACTTAGAGGCAAGTCACACTTTAAAGTGGCCCCAATTTCTGTCTACAGGTTAAAAAGAATTACCACTTTTTTTCAGTGAGTAGGAGCAGCCACTTCCCCTCCTATCCCGTTTCAGCTTTCCTCCCACACTGGTTCTCCTCTCTGGTTCTGAGGTGGAGCCACTGAGCACCGTCCTGTTATGTGAGCAGAATTGAGAGCAGTTACTGCCGAGACAGAAGGACGCTGTCACTCACCCATTACAGAATAACTGCACCCATAAGCACAACAGCAGCTGCTGCTCTTCCACCACAGGAATAATCCACTGCCCTTAAAAAAACCAAACTGCTACACAGTTTGTAACATTCTGTGCCCCATTACAGCATCAGGCACTCAGCTCCCCAGAGTCTGCACCAAGAGCAGGGCCTGAAGAGCTACAAGAAGGGAAACAGGAACCACAATGTACCACAGCTGCAAGTGGCGCCAGGGCTGTAGCCAAGGTCAGAACACCTCTAGCACACAACACTCCGTACCACCTCACTGCCCAATTAACATCAGTAAACTGACCCAAGACCCTGCTGTGCCTGGGGGGATTCTTCCTCAACCTCCCCTCCTCCACCAGTTCCCCATCTGTCTGTGCTACAGAAGTAAAGCCACAGCTGGAAACTGCAGGGAAGTGAACAGCCTCGCAAGAGAGCAGAGGGGGCATTCCACAGACCTAAGGCCACTTCCCTGCTGACATACCACCCTTTCAGGACAAGTAGTTAAAACTGACATAATTGTGATTTATTAACATGAATTAAAATGCCCAACCAGTGCTGCAATGTGACAGTATATTAAAAAAAATTAAAGATCATATACTGTACTACTTTCACAAAGATCACACTTTTTTTTTGCAAAAGACTTATTATATACAATACTATATCAAATGAAAGAAGCTTTAAGCAACTTTACAAGCGAAAGAAATACAGTATTTACAGCACTCGTCAGACATTAGAAACAGTCTATACATTAAATTACAATTTCTGCAAATAACTGATGAAACAAAAAGCCATGTCCACACCAAAACTATAAAAATCTGTATTGCATTGTTTCCTATCTCTATGCACACAAAAAACTGTTGACAGAAGAAAATGAAAAAAAAAAAAAAAAGTTGTTAGTGCCATCACTTAGCCTGTGTACTTATTTAATTACATATGTATAAAAGTAATATAGAAAACTTTCACTAAATGAATTTAACTGCAACAATAAAATTTTAAACATTATGCAGCATCAAACCTACTGCCAGAAAAAACAGCTGGAATGTCCACTTACAAAATAAAAAGAAATACCTAATACTGGCTTAACAGCACATTTTCAGGAATTTTAAAAAGCAAAAAATGGAAAGGATACAATGGAAGAGCACTGGTGTTTGCTTTTATACAAAGTATCATGTACAAGCTTTAAAAAGTACCTTGAATAGGTACATATTAAATATACACAGTTTATATTACAGAACATTTTAAAAATGTTTATAACTAAAGGGATCTGTTTTAATGCCACCCTGACCCATGGTAATTGTTCTGAAAAGTGGGCGGCACCTGTGCTCTGTGGATGGGGATCTGTCCCGGCACCGGCGAGGCCTGCTGCTGCCCTTGCACTCCGTGGGGAAGGGTCACGGAGCCGGGGTGAGGGCAGAACCCGGAAGCAGTAGGTGTTGCAATACTGTTTGGTCCTTGAGGTTGGATGTGAGGACCCTGACCAGGGAGTGGGCAATGAGGTCCTGTGCCAGCAGGCTGATGTTGAGGTCCAGGTCCTAACGTCGTGTGATGTGGGGCTTGTGAGGAATAGGAGGACACGCTCGTGTGAGCGTTTGAAGGGAAATGGGGGGGTCCTTGATGAGAGGGGTGGTGTAACCCTTGTGCTGATGCCGGGTGGTGGCCCGAGCCGATGACGTTGGAGGGAGGGGGCGGAGGGGGGGGAGGTGCCGAGTTTACAACGTGCTGGTGTTGTGCTTGCAAACCTTGGTGTCCCGTTGGAGGATGGGGAGGTTGGTGGTGGGGGAGAGGACCTGGTGGCGGAGGAGGTGGTGGCAAATGGTGACCAGCAGCTTGAGAATGAATGTGCGATCCAGGAGCCACTGCCATGGCATGGACCGGACCGACAACGTGTGCTACAGAGTGCTGCTGATGAGTACTTTGCTGCTGGACAAGGTGAGGCCCTGGAGCAGGCGGCGGTGGAGGCGGTGGCGGAGCAGCGGATGCCGATGCCTGGTGATGAATACTGGGGTTCTGAGACGGCAAAAAATGCCCTGGAGCTACGTGGTGTCCCGGCACTGTTTGCTGACCTGCAGTGCCAGGAAGTGCTTGATTTGGTCCAGATGAAAACACAGTCTGTTGGGGTATGCTGCCCTTCAGCTGGCTGTAGCTCTGGAAGTTTCCAGAGGGCTGCTGGCTTTGATAGTAAGTAGAAGAAGGGGGTGGAGGGGGTGGGGGAGGTGGTGCATTGCTGTTCAAATTTTGTTGGTTAAACTGGCTGTAAGAAGCTGAGGATTGTCCTGATGTTGTCTGAGTGAACAGGGGCCCGCTCGCCTGTGGCTGATTACTGGGCTGAAGGGTCGGTGCTGCCGGATAGAAGGCTCGGTGTGTTTCCCTCTGGGGTGTTCCAACTTGAGGTGACTGTGGGTGATGAGGTCTGTACGGAGATCCCAACTGCTGTGAGTGAGGCTTTGGTGACAGATAACCGTGCTGCACAGGCGCGTGAGGGGTAGAAGACTTGGGAGGATTTTCTACATGAGGCGAAGGGGGGCAATGCAGCTTCAAAGGTGCAGAAGGCAACTTCTGTGAATGTGAGAGTTGCTCAGCAGAACTGCGCAGATGTGACTGAGATGGATGATTCTTTGAAAGTGCTTGGACATTGTTTGTCAGCTGTTTTTGTTGCAGCTCCGATTTTGGATGGTTTGCACATTCGGTCTCGGGTGCATTAGCTGCACTTTCCCAGTGCGAATCTGGTTTTGTGGGTGTTTTCCCAAGTGACTGTGTTGAAACTACAGGATTCGGTGAAGAGGGCTGGAATGAAAAGAAAGTCAAGTCAGTGCTAAACATTCAAAATATTTAACCATGCATGCAGCAGAGAGAAAAGATCTCAGAATACCCTCCCCGATGGCAAAAAGAAGCGTCAAGGTGCAGGGTAAGAAAACATGGTGTAAGAAAAACATGAACAACAGAAAAATTAGGCTTAGAAAGACATTATTTTTAGCAAGTACGTGTCAATAATTCTTCAAAGACTAGTAACTGTATTTTAACAGAAATATGACCCATCAGATCAAAGTCTAGATCTGTTCTGTGTTAAAAGTTTTGGATTTCTGAATCTGAAGGAAGTCATTCCAGACAAAACCATTTACAAAAATAAAGCCATTTTTAGAGTGATTTAACTTTTTAAAGCTGAGGTAGTGCAAGCAAGCAGACTAAACATTACAACCTGAATTACTTCATTTAATATGGTACAGGCAACTACTCAATATCCTCCTCTGTATTATCAGTGCCCTGACTGACAAACAGTGCTAAACCCTGGCATAACAAGGGCAACCTGCTGTTAAGGGTAAATCACATCCTTGCTGTTGGTTCTGAGTGCCAGTTCTTCAGCACTCACCCCTCAGAACACCACTGACACAATCTCTTCTCTGTCTAAATGCAAAATCATCTATAAATAGGTACAGATACCGAAGGAAGAGCACACAAACCGACTTTTCAGTGTGTATGGATAAATATTCTTACAAGTGTTTACCTGTGTGAAATTACTGCACAGATAGATGAACATGTATGTATGTAACCTAAGTAGTAAACAAGAAGATTAACATTTTTAAAGATAAATCACATGTATATGGCTATTACTATGCTGATTGTACAAACACTGTGCATTACCTTGCTTGCTTTTGACGGACTCTTACAAGTCCTTTGTGAAGTATCGGGGGACGGACATTCAGAAGTTGGCTCTGGATTTTCAGAATCAGGCTCTACAGAAATAAAGCAGAAATAAACATCAAAGTGGGAAAATCAAATGTTTTGCAGAGATCACTAAGCTCTTTATATGTGACTTTAAAAGAGCTCTTAAAGCTGTTACAAGAGACTATTCAAGTGTCATACAAGGTCATCTGCTTACTGACCTTCCATAAATTCAGTCAAAGAAGGGACCTTAAGCTGCAACTGGGAAATGAGATTTGAATGAGATGGAGACTGAACATGAGACGGTGAGCATGGCCTACAAGGTGATTCTCCCCCTACAGATGAAGCAGACCCAAACACAGTATTAGAACGATTACAGACTACCATGGGGGAACTGGTTAGATTTACACACCATCAACATGATAAATCAACTCACCACTGTCCTTGTCTTTCCTATGATCACTGAGAAGTAAAGCTCTCTGATAACTTCGTTCTCTCACTTGTTCCACAGAGGTTGATGCAGTCCTGCAAGAGAGACGCACATTTTAAATTCAGTATGTACTCCCACAGACCAAATTTAGGACAATGTATATGCAAATACTGAGTCAGAGAGTTTACAGTGTTGGCTGCATGTAACAACCAAATAACTGGTTGTACATAAGAAATATTATTAGTTAAGTGGTTTGTATTTATTTTCTCCCCCTTCCTTGTTACATTACAAGGACTAGTAATTCCTCTCAATAAGGGAATGCCTGTAGATCTGTGGGATTTTTGTCTTCTAAGCAACTGAAAAGTAAAAAAATAAAGGTCACAAGTACTGGTTCCTAGTGTCCAGTTGTAGAAAACTGTCTTCCAAAACTGCAAACAATCAGCTTATTTGTTTGTTGTTAAGAATCTGCTCTTTAATGGTGGATCCAGAATTGTAAATAGTGTGCTACTACAAATATATCTCTCTTTAAGCTTCTACATTTACTTGCCAGATAGTGGGTATGCAGTGACAGTTAGATCTCCCTCTTACAATCGATTACATCTCACAATCATAACCTGATCAAGAACATCATAGTTAGCAGCACTCCACAAAACCCTGCTTTCCTTTATGGCAAGGACATATGGCATTATTCCATGATACTGGTGCACTGAAATAAATTTTGGTGCTGCTGTGCAGGGTTACTGCAAAATCCTAATAGTTAATTCTTCCCTGTTTAGCCTGTTTCCACATCCTTTGATTACAATATAGTGCAGTGTCTCCTGCACAGTGAACTTACAGCCATTTTTCAGGATGTGAGGAGGATGCGAGCAGAAGGATGTTCAACTTCTTAGCCCATGTGCCTCCCCAGCACACTTAGGCCTTCACTACAGCAAGAAGAACATCTGCAGGGTTTATTTTGCACTAACATTTTGAAGACAGTGTCACCACAGCTGGCTGTCTATTTTAAGGCTACCAAAACCACAGTGAAAAATATGTGCAGTGTTTTATACGGACTGAAGTCATCCTATCTCATCCCCAGCTATACTCCGTCTCTCCTCAGGATTTTTGGTTGTTAGGAGTACCTGGCATGGCATTCAACTGACCATATGGTCTGCAAACAAGGGAACCATTTAACCATCCTGAACAACACTGGCAGTGTCACCACACGCTCCCTCCCTGAGCAGGAGCCGTGGCTGGGCTGCAGCCCTGCACGTGGCAACTGAGCTACAGCAAACATCCCACACGTGTTCCAGCCACATGACTGAAACACAGACCTCCTAAGGCCTTCCAGAAGCTTTTGCTAATCAATACAGATTATTCTCTTGGTCCACCCTCTTCCCCTACGTTCCTTTTGGAAAGGTTTGAGATTTAACATGAAAACATTCTCTTCAGTCCACAGACAAAGGAGAGGAAATACAAGGACACAAATGCTCAAATTAATACATCTTCTGCTCTCAAAAAATACAAAATTAAAGCAGATTTAAAATAATTTAACCAGTGTCTTACGGGTAATTTTTCATATATTTTAATGTTTATGATGTGTTTTCTGCATTTCTGAGGAAAGAGATAAGACAACTCCACTAATCTGAAAGGACTTCCAGTCATTAACCTGCCACTGCAACCTTAATGGATACTAATTTCAAATAGGAAAGACTTGGATTTAAGTACGTAATTCTTCTGAACTTTAGTCCTATAGTTTGTGGCTTACCACTGAACCTCTGGTTCATTCTTCTCACTGGAGGAAGATTCCTTAATTGCACAGTTGTTGCCAGTGTCCTCTGGAGCTGCACTATAAACAGTAGCTGGCAGTGGTAAAGGCAGGCTTGCAGTATTATCAGTTTGCTCCCCATTTTCACCACTGTTGTTATACCCATCATTAGCACCATTGTTATTACTTGTATTTCCTCCACCAGCAGCATTAGGAGATACAGTAACCAGGGGGAAGTTCTCTGTCTTTGAGCCACTTTTTCGAGCTTCTCGTTGTCTCTTACGGTATTCTAACAAGGACACCTAAGGAGCAAGAAAACCCAGAAAACAAACATTAGAAGGCAAGTTTTACCCATTTCATTTCTCAGTTTCAATTAAATGAATTATTTTAGTAAGACATACCATTTAATTGGTTCTAAAAGAAAATGAGGGTAGATTAATTGAAGGTATTTCACCACATCTGCAGTGAATTTACAGAGCACTGAGCTACTAAAAACTGTAAAGATGATATAAAAAAGCTTCTGCCAAGAGAACAAGTATGTATTCTGCCTCAAGGAAGAAGAAGATGACACAAGTCAGCAAAAAGTTCACCTGTGGTTGTAGCTACAGGGGACAGTTTCTCCTGGAACTGCACATTAGTAAGAGTATATTGATATAGTAAAGTTAATTTCAAGAGGTCACATCCTGCTCTCAGACTGACTGCCTTGTATGAAAAACCCACTACCCTTCTGCTTCACTCTGCTGCATATATCAAAGCTCTTCATACATTCTTCTTAACATACAGAATTTGCAACTTAAATTTTCATTCTTTTCTTAGAGTTTATTTTGAATTTCTGTCTTTACTGCATGCTAAAAGAGAGGGATTAAGAACACAGTTTTAAGCTAATTCTAAGTTTATTACCAAAAATAATAACACATGAAAAATGGTTTCTACTTTATATATATATGTAAAATCCCTACGCAGACCTTCCACAGAACAGTTATCAGTTTAAACAGTAAGCTGTCATCAGTGAGAAAAATAAGTGTTCCAATATTTTCACTTATGAATCTTCAGGATTTGAAGCAAAGAGCTGAAATACTGACCTTCAGACCTACTTTATTTCAGAAATTAAACTACTTTGGTGAAAATGACATTTAACGTCTATCAGTTCTCTGAGTTATCAACAACCTGCTCTGAACCATCCAACATCCAAACCAAGAAACTAACATGCAGTAATGAAAAAAATTAATGTTTAACTGGCTTAGTCCTCAATGAAAGCGGTCATCCATTTTTACACAGAGAGAAAAGCAAGGCAGCCTGCTTTGTTTGCAGTCCTAAGGGTTTTTCTTTGTTTGCTTTCAAACAGATCTCTATCCATTAGAGACTCAACCACATGTCAGTGTAAAAACAGTTAAAAGTACCTGATTTTTCATTAAGAAAGTTTAGGTTAAGAACTGATCTTGCTTTCAAACAATTTTGTATTTCCACATCATGTGACAGAGATCCCTTGAAGAATTTTGCTTTAAAGAAAGCTTAAATGTTAAAAGCAGACAAAACCTACGCAGTGTGGTCATTATATACACGACTGTACTGAAAGGGGACAAATCTGTGCAATGGTGAGAGAAAACAGTGAAGCAAATGTCCACAGAAACACTGAAATATGAAAAAAACCTCCTCCACAGACCTGCTCTACCTGCCTCATGTGATCCCAGGAAAAAGGCTTCTATTCATTTCCTACAAAATTCCTCAATTCTCACCTTTCACCTTTGGTGAGATCTAGCCCACCACATCCTTTTTTTATACTGTCAAGAGTTGCAAATTTTTTTGTGTGCGTCCTTGGAAATCCTAAAACCCATTCCTTCAGGGATACAGATGCAATTCTCTCTGGTTGCTTCCTCAAACTGAAAATTTTAGATTTTGGGATTCAGGGGTGTCAGGGGCAGCCATGTCTTTTTTTATTCAGGGCTTAGTGTAGCATAAGCCCTCATCAGTGACAATCTGCAAGAATCCTTGTCAGCAAGAGAAGGGGGGAGAATTACTGAAGCACTAAGTGCTGCTGGGATTTGTGAAGACCAATTTAGCCTTCACACAAAAAAGAACATAAAGTTACAGAAATTTTGGCTTATGTTTTCTTTTTGGGTTTGTCAAAACAGCAGGGCTACAGCAACACACACAGTGTCTATAAACCTCAGGACCTTGACCAGGTAAGAAAGGAGCTCCTACCAATCTCGCTCCATTTATGTCTCAGCTTGAAGCAAAGCAAACAAAAACCCAGTTTTGCTGGAGAACTACTGAAGGAAGAATCCTGAGTGCTCCCCAGCAGGATGCTCCCTGCCCACAAGGGAGAAGGCACATACAAGGGGCTGTAATGTAACCAAAAAACCAAAACCCCATTGTGCATGTATGTACAGAAACAGAAAATGCCCCCGCCCCCCTCATCACTACTTCCATAAAGAAAATAAATCACATCTTTCAAACAAGAAAGATTTCTACAGTCTTTGATGAGACAGAACAGGCAAGCTGTCGCACTGGAGATCACTGCATTACATGTCTGTTGTCCTTCCTGCAAAGGGACTCTCACCTGACACTACAATGCAATCTAAGAGCTATGCAAAGCAACTTCCAATCCCGGTTCAAGTTGCCCGTGACCACACCACTTACCCACAAGAACTGTTTCATGAGAGTAGCAAAGTTAAATTGCACTTATTTTTCAAACACAGTACTTGATAAAAAAACCCCAAACCAACAACCAAATTAAGTCAAGAAAAATATTCCTTGGAACTAAATCTTTCTGTGCAGTTCTGACTTCAAAGTCGGAGTAATTCATAACAGATGTTCACATATATCATCTCTATGATGCTGGTATATATCCTGTATAATAGAACAGTGTAACACCAGATGGCATAAGCAACCATTTTCAAACCTGAAAAGCAATTTATTGAGCAATTAATTTAAGACTCATATGAAATAGAAGTAAATTTGTATCTATTACTTGGGAAAAAAAAATTTACTGATGGCTGTATGCCTTCATTATTTCCCCTCAAAAATGTCTATTACACTGTAGCATGTAAAGATGAGCCACCAGCTGGTTTTTATTACATTAGGGCTCTCTCTGTTATAGAAATATCATTAGCAGTTGATGAAAGGCAGACCAAATGATTCTTAAAATTATAACCTTTTTCTTTTGTGGAGGATTCTGGGGTGTGCAATTTCCATCCATCAAATTGTCGTTATTGACAGTCCTTCCAAAGCCAGGTGCAATTCCATCTTCTGAAGTACAAAAAACAGATGCTTCCATGAACATGCCTCTTCCATCATCTTGAATCGGGCACTTGGACTCGCTTATTCTGAATCCACCTCCAACCTCCAACTGATGTGAAGGGGTCAAGTCCCTCAAATTAGAATTCATTGAGAAATTTACACCTGTCCTGTCAGGACTTTTAACCCAGGAAGAATAAATTGTGCCCCGTCCACAATGAGCAGTTTCTAGTTGGCTGTTTGCATCAGTCCTATCATGTGTGGGGGCTTCCAGGTTTTTATGCAGTGCACTTTGCTCAATTACTTCGAGTCCCAGCTGGAGGTCTGACACAGATTCCATTTCTCCAGTGCACTGCCGTGTGACATCAGTCCTATTCCTTGGACTAGAATATCCAATAGTCTTTATTTCTTGCAGGCCCATTTCTGTCAGGTTGGAATTTCTGAAAGAATTCAGTGCTAGAATCGATGCTCTGTCATAACCCTGTGTGAAGAAAACACACATCAACTATTTTTTCACACTCCATCAAAACTGCAACTACTCTGACAATCAACTGTGCCTTTAAGTGGGATTAAAGGTCTTAAAGTATCATGAATTTATCAGTTTTAAGAAACAATTCTACAGCCAGACATTTATTTCTACTATTCCCATGTATTAGGTTAAAGCATTGTAAGAAAATGCACATTAACCAAAATAAAAATAAACATTATTCGCCAGACTTAATTTTATGACTGGCAGAAGAAGGAGAGCAGTGCCAACAGCAGCAAGTCCCTGGCCAGGAAGCTACAAAGTACTTGCTTCAACTCAGCATAAAAGAGATTCTCCTCAATGTCAAAACACTTATTTCAAAGAGGGAGAAGGAAAAGTTTTTCCAAGACACTTCTGAATTTTGAGACAGAACAGGACACATGCATTCTGCACGCTTGGGAGCACCCAGGCACATTCCAACAGCACTTGCTGCTTTTCAACTAATCCACCTAAGCCCATTTACTACCTTTCTGCTCTGATCTCTCACTCTGAGCATAACTGGGATCAATAAAAACAATTAAGAGATGTTGGTAACAACGAGAAATGTTAATCTGAACCTAACTACAGCCTAGAAAGCAAAGTGTTCTTTTTCTGTTCTTGTCTGGAAATTACAGTAGTTACTCCTTTGCATTACAGTCATCAGGAGTTTTAAGCGAAACAGAAAAAGAAAGAAACCAGTTTAAAATAGAGAATGTAACTAGGTAAAGTGGAAATAAAAAGCAGTAAGCAAATAACCTATAGGGAATTTACCCTTTACATTCTGAGAAACCTGCAATGGCTGGTGAACAGCATTTACTAAGAACAGTGCAGCAATACAGGTGAAATCAAGATACCCTTCACAGGGTATCTTGGGCATGTTTCCTTACCTCTTGACTGTAAGCTCGCCTTTTTATTTCTGGGGAACTGTCAGGTGAGGAAATATTCTAAATAAATAAGAAGAAATTGAAAGTCAATTTATGTTTTACCTTGGAGAAATAAAAATCCCCCACTTTGTAGGAGGAGTACAAATACTGATTTACACTGGAATGTCCAAACACATCCTCTGAACACATTTAAAGTCTTTATAAAATCTCACCTCAAAGTGCATGGTATTTCCATGTATACACGGAGTTACAGGAGTAACTGGCGAATATATGGGTTTGTAACCATTTCTACAAGCTTCATCTTCTGTTTTTACCCTAGGAGGAGTAGCAAACAAGGATGGTTCGGAGGCAGTGATGTCAGCATGGGTTGGTGTGGCATAGGGAGAAGGAGTAGGTGTGGAGGTTTCTGAGAATGCAGACTCCAACAGCTGATACAGTCTTCGCTTTTTGAGTGGTGTGGTTAGATCTGTGAGTTAAAATTAGAAAAAAGTTGGAAGATATCTAGATACAGCAATCACTTACAGTTGTCACTTTATGTAATGAAATTATGAATTCCACATTAAAAAACTGTATGGTTACAAGAATCTCTTAAGGGCAGGCTTCCTGAGAGATGAACTTTTAACAGCCTACAGACTTCCTGAAAAATAAACTCTTTAATAGCCTACAGATATATCAGTAACTGAATTTTGTGTGTTAAGATGCTGGGAAGAACTGTCTGTGTCTCCAGAAAAGGGAAAGTCAACTTCTATGCATTTTCAAGACTGTTCAGCTAAAAAGTAGAGATTCCCAGTTCAGGACTGTAAACAGGAATCAGCTGACAGGTTCCATATCCTTATGGAAGTGTGTTTAGTTTTTAGTGTGTTCCCATTCTCTATTACGCCTATGAGATTACACAGCTTTTCCCCTGTGTGCTACACAGGCCTACTGAGTTTTAAAGGAATCTAAATGTACAAAACAGTATCGATAGTAATTTAACACCTGACCTCTGAATATTAATAGTCAAAAACATCAGTCTTTTGTTGACTGTAAATGCCTTGAAATATGGTGGTTTCTTATCTAATATACATTAAAGGGGGGGAAAAATCCCAAACGCAGTGCAGTGAAACACTTATTTCAAAGAAAGTACCATCCCTTTAAAAAACACAGTTCTCCACATTCAGCTACTTTGATATAACTCTTATGCAGTGTACTAGTAAAAGTTCCACACCTGTTAAGGAACAGCTGTCATTCAGTAATAAAGGACTTTTATGTTCACCATTGATGGCTGGACTTCTAGATCTCTCTTGTGATGGTGAATTAAATCTATCAATCATTGTTGAATTTTCTTCTTCCAAAGCCTGCTTCAACCAACGCTGTAAGACAAGTTCACAATAGCGACTTAGATGTTTAATGATGAGTATTTCAAAACGTGCAACACCACTGAAATGGTTTGCCAACCAGCTTTTTTTCTTGTCTAAATTTTTTAATTAATATGGGATGGGGAACCATAATGAAGGGAAGCATTACCTTCTTACAAGAGCCAGTAATGTTTTCCACAGGTTCTTTTTTCCTCCTCTTTTCTGAAAGGAATGGTGAAGTAAAACGAATATAGTGCTTTGGAGTTGAATAAACATGTGGACTGTAAGTGAGCCCAGGTAAAGAATTCAGCTGAGTAGCCAGAACTTCAGGGTCTGTAGTTATGCGTAGAGGCCTTTCTGGTAGACTGTCTGTAGGTTTCCCTGCTTTATCACTCTTTTCACTTAACCATTCACTGACCAAGTGCTAAACAGAGAGAGAGAGAAAAAAATTACTGTTCTATGAGGGTTTTTATTAGTGGCATTTAAAAATTTTTTAGTCTAATTATTCATCTAGTCAACTATTACACAAATCAGAAACAGTTAGTGTCCAGGCTGCAAGTTTAAAAATACACAGTAAGAATGAGGACAGTTTCAGTGAAATAATGGGGATAGCAGAAGAAATCAGCATAGATTTGTTTATGTACCAGTTTGGGGCATTTTGGTTTGTTTGGGTTTTTTTTTTGTAAACTACATTTATTTCTTCTGAATTTAATTCTCACTGAACATACTATACAACTGCCTGTATCAACTGCACTTTAAGAATGTCAATTCAGTAACAAAATTCCAAACCAAATTTTAAACTTGTGCCAGAGCACCTAGGCTGAGGAGAAATAGTGTAACATTAACAGAACAAACTTAAACTCCTCATCAGATTTCTGTACTGTGAGGACTGTGCCTCAGTCAGTATCTCAGGCAGGTGCCTTGAACGTGAATCTTCAACTATAGTTGTATTAAATTATAACACATGGACTAAGGTACACTGGTCAAAAAAGGGTATTCTTTCCTAGGTAGTTCAGTGTTTTTAAAAAACATGCCAGTGGATTTGAGTTTCTACTAAGAGATAAACCAACCTCCTAAATTCTATGACGATTCAAAATTAAGGACATGCAAAAATAGCACGCTAAATAATATTAATGTGATAGTAAGGTTTTAACACAGATTATCATAATATATTTAAGTTGCTTGCCTTTTATAAACCTATTTATATTTAATTAATTTTTAAAGCAGGACTTTCTCTGCACTTGGGGAACACTGAGTGCAATGTGATGAGACACTTCACAGATACTTGTGAATTCAGATTACTACTATGAAACAGCAAAAAAGCGCAGTAAAATTCAGACTTGGGACATCTTCATTCCTTCCTGCTATGCAACACACAAGAAAGGAAGAAAAATTCTAGTCTTCCCTTCTCTCATCAGAATTTAATAGTGATGCAAAAAGCAGTGTTACAGGATGACTCAGATGCTCTTGGAAAAAAAAAAATCTAAGGTGTGTTTGGGGGTTTAAGATGAAACCATCCTGAAACTGTTATTGTTCATTTGACAAGAAGTTTCAACCTATAACTTCCTTCCCCTACTCCTCCACTGTACAAAATTCTCAGAACTTCTTGTAAATCATGCTAAAAACACTTTTTAATGCAGTCTGTAGAATTTCAAAGCAGAAAGGTTTATTGCTTTATGTGCACTTGCAGATTTAAGATTTTTTAATGTCTTTACATACTGTGCCATTTAGAAGTTTTTTGCAATGTAATCCAATGGAAAAAAATTAAAAACAAAGAACTAAAGAATCTTCCTTCCAAACAGGCACGTAAATTTTGGGAGTTTAAAGACATTCACTTCAGAACAGACATTTGAGAAGTACTAGAAATCAAGTGTTTCCTTGGAGATATTCTGTGTGCTATCTGAAGCTTAAGGAAAAGCAACTTATTTCCTTGGTTTTTTATTTAAATTAACAGCTTTAAGTATGTTTTGGCTATGTGTAGTATTTCAATCCACTTAGAAATCCCATTTAGAAAACATTTTCTTCCAAACTTGCTCTGAAAGATGTATTTTGGAAGTCTCTTAAAATCCAAAAGAAGTTCTACCAAAGGATGTTACAAATTTTAATCTATTACCAGTGAGTGGCTATACAATGGTGATTTTTAAAGAAATGAGCCAGCATTAAAAAAAAAAAAAAAACACCAAAAAAAAAAGGCAGTTGCATACTGACGAAGCAGTCTGTAATTTTTAAAAACTCTGTAACAAAGTCCAGTCTCTTCTCCCTATCCCTCAGGACACATACCTTCTTTGTTTTAGGATACTTAGTAGGGCATTTACTAAGTGCTGGAGCTTCTGTTTCAGTAACCATTTCTGTAACAACAGTTTCTGTTTCAGGCTCAGCTACCAGTGCAGCATTCTCAGTTTCATTATGCTGGGAAGTTACTTCCACGTCAGGAGAAGAGGGCTGGATATCTGAGCACATGCTGACAGTTCTGTGCCGCCGGCGCTGCTGGCCAATGTGAGTTCTACTCCGTGAGAAGCTTTTTCTCTGTTTAGTTCTATTAACTTTGGCTGGGGTGGGCTTGGTGGCAGTTTCTTCTTTTGCAGGTTCCTGGTACAAGACAGAAGTCTAGTAAATAGATCCCACACACATTTAGAGCTACCTATCTTTCTTACATGAAAATGTCACTTCCCTCTTCTTTTACAGGTCCAAAAAGCTTCTTTCTAATTTTTTTGTCAGAACTACAACACTTCAGAGATAGTATTTCTCTCCTTAAAGGCAAATGACAAGATTTCAAGTATTTTCCTCCCAAGTACTTGCAGAGTACTCACACACACCAGTCAGACCAGGACAGCAAGAACTGACACACCACATTAATTTATCTGTAAGCTCAAAATCAACTGCTTACATTGTGATGTCTTTCCGTCCAATATTCCTTCTGCAATTTATAATTTACTAGGTGTTCAGCATGGTCACAAAAGGTACTTAACAGAATGCTGACAAGAACTGTTCAGGGAAACAACCTGAACTGAGCATCTATAGAGTATTTGCAAACTAAGAAGCAACCACAGAGTAAAAAGCTGTTTATAAGACATTAAGTATCATCTGCAAGGACTCAGAAAAAAATACTTTAATAACTCCTTTCCTTTAAAATAACAGAAAGGATTATAATGTGTTCCTGAATAAACAACCAAAGAAGCAAAGCGTTCTCCACTGGTTACAGACAATGCCTAAAGGAAGGCCCCCTCCTGTGGTTGAAGTCAACATCGGTAAATGCTTCTATCCTGAACTTCAAAGACAGACTGAATTACACAGCTGGGGGTGTGTGCATCGCTACATAAATTCATGTAACTGAAATTCATCATTAAACAATTCCATACGTGTCTTATTGGGAAAAAAATTTAGGAGTTAATATAATGTCATCAAAGAACCACCTAAATTTTGGTCAAATATATTTTAATTCAGGGAGGGGGGGAAGGGGTGAAATTCATACACCTTGAAGTGCAGTTCGACATCCAAACTGACAAAATATGCCATGTTAAAAGCTAGGTTTAAAATAAAGCTCCAAATAACTACCTGAATAAATTCAGCATCATTGAGAATCTGTGCTTCCTTGCATTCCGATTTAACCTCAGTTTTTGCTGTGCTGATTCTTTCCAAAGCCTGCTCTCTTCTTTTTTCTCGTTTTTCTAGTCTGGCAAAAGCTTGCAGGATAGCTTCCATTTTCCGTTCTTCTCTTGTCTGATGGATTTAACAATAATCACGATCAATTTCAGTCATAATCCTTCACGCATATAAATATGTAATTAAATACTCTCCCCCTATTTTTTCAAGTACTTCAGAATGTGTTAAATGTATACTGACATGAAGATCAAGTTCAGCAGGAGCTCAGATTAAAGGGAGATATTACAATCACTGCCATTACTACAGACTCCTGAAGAAAGGTTTGCATTCATACCAACCTTGACAAACAAGAGAGTCCTGCTTCAGATTTAAGAACGTGCTACAAATTTTTGAATGCCTAACAAAAAACCCCACATTTTTAAATGCTACTTTTTGTAACACTGTTCTACCAACCTCTAAAAGTCAGGATTTCTGGGGCTTTTAAACTGGGAACTCAAACAGAATAGGCAAAAATATTGATTCCCAAAACAATATCTAAAAATGACCACCACAAATAGCAGGCAATAATAAAGAGCAAATAATTAAATCTAAGAGAGACATTGTAGAAATCATCTAAAGGCAGCAAAAAAGTTCTATACAATTGAAGATAAAAGCAGATTTTTGTCAGAAAGCAGTGATCAACCCAGATGAAATATTCTCAAATAGCAACTCTTGCATTTTAAGGCTAAGTTCATGTAAGGATCTGACTTCACACATACTGGATTCTACACGCCTACAAAAAGGCAGCAATTAGCATGTGAATAGCAGGTGTCACTAAGCCTTAGTGATGACTTTAGGCAGCTACTTGCTTCCCAACTTACCATCTTCCTTTTCCTTTCTGCAATCTGCTCCTCTGATTCCATTTCTACTTCATTGCTAATGGGAGTTTTTTCTTCTATATCATCAATAAAATCTGGTTCCTGAAAGATGGAAATGACTGTTTTACAGAAGCTCTACTCCTCTTGCAAACTAGGGAAAACTAAAAGCTACACAGAACTAAGACTCCTCAGAGCATTACATCAAAAGTAATGTTAAATAGTTATCTTTAATAGCTGCTCTGCAAAATAAGTTAGTAATTTACGTGTCACAGATCTCTTCCAACAGCTCTTTCAAATGGATATATTAAAAGAAAGACTAATTTAAAATTTACCATCATGATACATTACCAGGTGGCTTTACCATACTATCTGCCCATTATCCAGTATTCAGCTTCAGTTAGGGGGAGTAAGGTGTATTTTGAATTAAACACAGAGCTGCAGAGTTCTATTAAACATGGAGCTGCATTCAACACTTAGTATTCTGGGTGCTGCTACATTTAAAATACTCCGCTCCTAAGTAACAGAGGCAACTAATCAAAAGGCACTTAGGATGAACTGAGCTCCTGAAAGCACAACATGAGGCATTCACATAAGAGAGCCACAAAGAAATTCAGAGGGAAAAAGTATAGTTAAAAGTGGTATGGGAACCAATGTATTTTAAAATACAATCAAATATTAAGTAAAACTGAGAACAGTATATATATATAAAAGTCTGAATAGCTTATCCAGCATTCTGATTTTTGATAAATCTCCATATCCCTTTGCAGTGACTTGTTAAAATTCCTTTAGTAGCTACAAAAGGAGAGTATCTGTGTTTAAAAGCTTTTATTTCTGAGCATCTTTATGTCAATACCTGATTATTAGAAATGGAGAGCCTGAGGGGAGAGAGCTTTCTCTGCTTATTGTCTGTGATTTTCATTTTGGTGGCTGCTCCTTCACAGTCCAATGTGATGTTCTGATTCTGAGTCTCCTTTTCTCTTGAAACATCTTTCTCCTTCTTTCCCTTTTTCCTTCTGGTTTCATATCCAGTATTGATGTTTTCTGTAGGCTCGGAACGTCTGAGAACTGGACATTCAGGATTTTCTTTGAGGCAAGCACAATCCACTTTGTATTTACTGCAAGTAATTAAATGCAAGAAGGTGTATTTGATTAGGCTGTACAGCAATGAGACCTTTCAATACTAAATCACATAAGCTGATGAATTTCACATTAAACATCTGTAATGCAACCACATTAAAAAGCAGGTGACTAAAGTTTTCACCATGATACACAATATTGCTGTAATTCAGAAATCTTATGTACTTGTTAACTGGTTGGTTTTTGCCACACAAAATTCTTTTAAATTCAGGTTATTATCTGATTGGAAGACAGAAGACATCTAAAATCTCAGTGTAATCCTAAGTGGAAATACAACCACCAAAAACTGAACAGATGCACTAAAGGCAGACAATTCTTCATGCTGAGACAGACACGATTTACAGAATGAGCACACTGAACTCAGAGTCACTTGCACAATTTCAAGCTGCACTTGGATACACAGGAAATGTTATTCAAACACATTCAACTGACAGAGCTGTCAGCTGCAAGTACTAAGCACAACTACGATGTATCTTTAAAAGGATAAATAACAAACCCCAAAAAACTATCAGTCAGCAACTTCTCAGGTTCTCTTCATGTGAAGGATCACAGAGATACATAAATGCTCATTTTAGAAAGGACCTTAGAGATTATCTACTTTCAAACCCCCTGCCATGGGTAGGGATACCACTTGCTTGCTCAGAACCCCATCCAACCTGGCCCTGAACACATTTTTTGAGTTAGATTAGGTATTAGGAAGAAATTCTTGGCTGTGAGGGTGGTGAGGCACTGGAACATATTGTCCAGAGAGGCTGCAGATTCCCCATCCCTGGAAGTGTTCAAGGTCAGGTTAGATGGGGTTCTGAGTTACTTGGTCTAGAGGTGTCCAAGACAGGAGGACTGGAACTGGATGATTAAAGATCCCTTCTGACCCAAACCATTCTATCATTCTATGATCCTGTAGTTGAAAACCATTCTGTATCACTATTTGCTGATGTAAAAAGTCCCTCTCCCCCTCTTTTTTTTTTTAAGCCCCTTTTAAGAACTGGAATGCTACAATGGGGTCTCCCCAATACTTCTCCAGGCTGAACAAACCCAGCTCCCTCAGCCTTGTCTTCACAGGAGAGGTGCTCAGACCTCTGACCATCTTTGTGGCCCTCCTCTGGATCTGCTCTAACAGACTTTCTTGTACCAAGGACTCCCAACCTGGATGCAGTACTCCAGGTGGGATCTCACAAACACAGTAGAGGAGGAGAATCACTTCTCTCAACCTGCTGGTCACACTGCTTTTGATGTTGCCCAGATTGTGGTTGGCAGGCACATGCTGCTGGTTCGTGTCCAGCTTTTCACTCAACTTCCAGTCATCTGTAAAGTTACTGAGGGTGCACTTGATCTCACTGTCTATGTCACTGATAAAGATATTACAGAGGGATGCAGAACAATTCTTAAAAGTGCCAGGTATGCTGAGGTAGTCTGAACCCAAGCTGATTAATACAGGTAGTGCTCTACGGTCATACTTGGTTCAGGTCAGGTAGCAAAGGCATGTCTACACAGCACTGCATCCAAGTTGGCTTAAGAGCAGACCACAGAAGTGCAGTAATAATAATACAGAAGAAACTCTGCCCACGCACATGCTGCAAATACAGTGCCTGAGGAGCCTTGTGTTATTAATGCATGCAAGAAAGTAAAAGACAAAACCAAAGCCATTCTGAATTGCAAAGTAACCAAATGAACACCATTCTCAAATACTTACCAATTTCCATAATCGAAATCAAATGCTATAGTAATCTCTGCTCCCTTTGGAATGTTATGGATGGAGTAAATATAAAGATGAATTGTTCCATCTTCAATTACGTGCCTCACCTATATTCAAGGAAATATCATATTATCATGAGTTACTTTCTTTTTTCTAAGTACATGTATAACAACTGTAGGAATTGCTTAAATTATTGAATTATTGGAATTTCAAGGAAAAGGGGACTTTAAGTAAATAAAACCTAATTTAACTTCATATATATGCTCACCTCTGCATTTGGCGTGCATGAACGCCTGATAAATCGAGCTTCATTCCCAAAAGTCCTTGCATCAACACACATTTCTAGCCCATGGAATTTTGAATAAAATAAAACAAACGGGTACGGCCTGAAAAATATACAAGAAAACCAGTAGTTTTACAATTTTTAAAGATGCTAAATAACACTTATGCTTCACATTAGTCAGTTTTGAAACATGCTGTTTGACACAATACATCAAATTTGTGTGTTAATCTAAGAATGACATGTTTGTACTCAAGCTTCATGATTTTAACTGGTACATTCTCCAAATTTTTTCTCAGAATACCTCAAGTTGGAGTTACAGTCCTGTACCTTCTGCATAGATCTAAAGGGAGAACAGTAACAGGTCAACCACTAGACATGGAAGACACAAGGTTAAGATTTATCAAATTTCTTAAAACTTCTGTCAGGCCCTAAAATAAAATTCAGTTAGAAATTTATAAGCCACAGAGAACCATACAAAAAAAGGTAACACCTCCATGTGCTTGCCTAACATCAGCAAACCCACTAACACATAACCCCCCTAAAGCAAGGGGACATCCTTGGGACATCCAAAATAATTTGCCAGGACAAATTATAAATAGCTTTAAGTTCTGCTACTGCAAGTGCCAGAGAGCCCTTCCATGTTTACTGAGCAAAAGCTGTGTGTTCTATCTCCTCCAATGGGCCTCTCGAAAATTCCCAAGTAGGTGTGTCCATGCAGTCAATGGCAGCACTGAAAACAACCCATAGGAACAAGGCAGCAATTAGAGAACTCTGGCAGTAAAATGAGCCCAGGTCAACCTCTGTTCAATTTTATTCTCAGCCTGATGGACTTAAAAAAACCTGTTTCTCTCACAAAAGATAATGCCTCTGCCACTAACTTACGAATTATTTTAGGATGGTAGAACCTGTCCATCCCTGGTTTAACGTACAAAATTACCCAACTGAGAATGTAGGAATCCTGTGACCAGGGAAGAACAAAGAAAGAGGAAACTAGCTCCTGAACAGATCTGTAAGGATATTCAGAAGAGAAAGGGGGAGACCAGACTCCAGCTGTCACTGCTTTTAATGAGACGACAGTAAAATGCAAAAGACTGCTGATAACTAAGACTCACTTGTACTTGAGGTAAGAGTTTGGCAAAACACCATTTTAACAGTTACTTTACCAAAACATCTGGAATAAACAAACCTTTTAAAGAAATATCCATTAGCTTCAAATTGTTCTCTCAGCATGAACTTTCCTCTGTATTCAATAATAAGTGCATCGGGAGGCAAGTCTTTGGCAGCTTTTAAAATTTTCTTGTTTTTTTGCACGTAACTCTGCAAAGATACAGATTCATTTATGAAATATCACTATCATTTTTCCATTATTATTAATAGTAGATTACACTTTCACAACTATTAAGCAATTTTATATGAATTAAAAACCCTTCTAGTAATTAAATCTCCAGACTGAAGTGACCAAACTGTCCTGTTCCCTTACCAATGTGACTAGTTATGAATTTAGATTAAAAGAACGCTCTAGCCCTAGTTCTCCAGTACATGGATGAAAACCAATTTATTCATGTTCTCACAATTCAAGTACTACATCCCTTAGTGCACTTAACTCTCACCATGACTAGGATGAATTGCTGCATTGTTTTGCACAACACTTTCAAAAGGCTCCAATTCCTTCAAACAAAACAAAACATGCAGACATAAAATGACGTTCACAATTCATTCAAGGAAAAATAGAACAGGAAAGTAACATAATAAAAGAATCCTGAGAGAGTTTCCAGATTTATTTACATGTCTTTAGATGGAAGGACGGTTTTTAATTAAAAACCAATACATACCCTGGCAATTAGTGAACTCACACCTCTCATAACTGTCACCACCAATCAAAAAGGAAGTAGCCTCTATGTAGGCAAAAGGCTCTGTAAGTAGGGATATTCCTCTAAGGAGGGTGTCCCATATGCCATGATGGTCTTCGAGAAAAAGAAGCAAAGATGCTTCCATTAATCTGCTACAGTAACTATTCCTCAAGATTTCTGCTACAAAGTGCTATGGTCTTTTATACGGCTCTGATTTTAAGCCTTCAAGTAACTGATAGTAAGGCTAAAAAAAGACATTGCACATTTCCTTCATGAACTAGAAATTACAGAATCGAGTAAAAAAAAATAAAATAAAGATTCAGTATCAGAAATATCACTCATGAACATCCAGAACACTTACCATACCTTAAGAAAAATGTAGACAATGAACATGTTGATACACATCGTAGGAAAAAAAAAATCCAAACAGATTCAGCCTCTATGCCTCTATCTACTCTAACCACTCCTGATATTCCCCACAGAGAAACAACAACAAAGCTGACTGCCTGACAACAGAGAGTCTAAGGACAATCCAGTGTTCAGGCTCTGACTAACACCTTAGCTACTTTTTAGGATAAATGATATGCAAATATAAACATAACCAGGGATGATATAGAATGTATAAAAATAAACTTCAAATTCTGAAAAATGTTAAAATTCTGATATTAAGACTCCAGGTGTTTTTACTTGGTTTTTTTGGTTTTTTTTTTAAGGCATATATACGAACATTTTTTGTCATGGCAAACAGAGCACGTAATAACACAAAGAGGCACCGCTGATTACCTCTACTGGAGGTTTGAAAATCAGATTGCTGGTGCTGACTTCTTTTTTGTCGTTTCCATTGCCTAATCTCAGAGCTATTTTTTGTGCCTCCCTCTGGACACCTTCACTGTACTGGTTATTATTTGCTTCTTCATAACGATCCATCCATGCCTTGATTTTATTTTCCCATCCAAAGTTTGAAGTGTCAGTAGGATCAATCTCTGGAGCTGAGCCCTAAAAATAAAGTAAGTGACCAGATATTAGAAGCCAAGATATTCAAAAATTAAAAAAATAATTCTACAAGAAGACACAAAATGAAGGGTAGAGGTATTGACTGAATTGATTTAAAGTTTGGATTTTTTAGGAAGTCTGGTATAAAACTCTGCATTACTTAAAAACATTCAAGTTGAATTCAGTCACATTACATTTGTTCAAGAATTTTATTTCACAAATATCACCCAAGTTCAGAAATACACTCCCTCCTCGACAGGGATTCTAGCTTTTAGTGGGATGAGAATGGAGACTGACATTGTTTCCTCCCACAAATGCACTGCATCACAAATCTATGAGTGAGGGAGTTGGAGGGTCAGATCTCTCCATCCACTCAACTTTTGTGAACATATGCAAATACACAGAACTCCAGCTTTTATCCTTTAATACACAGACTTGGTTCTCCCCTTTTAACTTTAAGGGTCATGTTATATCTTTTCTTCCGCAGCACAACTTACTAAACTTTACTATTCCTACACCTACTACGTTAAGGTTGTGACTCAATGTTACAGGCTTTGCACATATTTTTCCCTCCTTCTCAGCTCCTCACTACACAATTCTCTTCTGCATTGCTTCAGATCCTTTCACTTTTAAAGAAAGTGCCATTGTACCTCCAGACCTCACAAGAAGCAGCCAGGCTGCAGCCAACCAAAGCTCCTTACGGACAGCAGCAGCCAGCCAACGCTCCCTTTTCTATATCCACCTGAGCAGAGACACTATTAAATATTAATAAAACACAAGTAGTTCAGCAATTCAAATTACCTGTTCACATTTCTTTTGTGCAGGAAGAAAACCATACACACAAACAGCATTAAAAAAGGTGTGATGCTAAGAAAACCATGAAAAAACCACAATGGAACCTTAGAAGCACCATATTCAAAAAAAACCCCCACAGCAGAGGTTTTTCTTCCCCAATTCTGTCTTCACTATTCAGAAGCCACATTTTATACATTTGAAGCATAAATTACATCCCACTTGTTTTTATATATCCCAAGCATCAACGAACTAAGGCAAATACCTAGTTCTCACACCATGCATATTTTTATCTCACAGAAAACTTTAGGACTGGTGTAACACTTAAATCTTACAAAGCAGACCTCCCAGCATGACTCCTCAGGCTGTGCCAGTACTAGTGAGTGGAGTCCCATCAGATGTATACAGGGAGTGTATGACAGAGCAGAATTGCTAATTTATCTTTCAAATGCAATACTTCATTATTTCGCTGTGTAAGTGTTATAAAAAGCTGGAGCTACTAAGTTTGAATGAGGTGTGCACTCAACTTTACTCCCTTGTATAGCACAGACGAGTCCCAGTTCATCCACTAGCTCTTCAAAACCACCTATTCTCAGGATAAAAATTCACACTACATTATTTCAATTAAATTCTAGGACATAAAAATACAATGCATAGTTTAAAATCACTGTGATGCATATGTAATACATTAGTTATCAAGAAGAGAATATTTTAGTGCTTAATGTTTAGTCCCAATTACACTCTTAATGCTTCTTACTATTTAAGTAATGTACAATTAAGGTTTGACACAAAATCCAAACAAAATCACGTTACCTTTACTCGTGAAGATTTCCTGGATCCTTCTCGAAATGCCTGGAATAAAATTAGATATATATATATTCACTGGAAGAAATACAAAATCTCTTAAGGAGTTCAAAATCTATTAACAAATTAACAGTTTTTCAGTAAAACACGCAAGGTGAAAACAACAGAACAAACTATGGTGAAATCTCAAGAAGGTAAGAGGTTACATCTCACAAAATGCACTTTAAAAATCAATTCAGCATTTCAACCTAAGTGCATAGTAGAGTCCAGGGACCCCTACATTTCTCCCACATGACTTTCCAGAATTTCAGAATCCAAGCCAAAACAGTAGAGGTAACAGAATAACACATGGTAGTAAATTTGTGTTCAGAATTGTTTGTTGAAGTGGAAACATTTTTCTAAAACTTTCTTACAAGACATCAGTAACTAATTCTGATTTCATTTAAAAGGCAGAACTCTCATCCAAGCCAATGAAACAGAACTACAAAAAGCAACTTGATTTGGTAAGATCCATGTACGTTACTTCTTCATACATATTTTGTCTTCACATTTGTGATACTGTTTACACCTGTAGCTAAACTGCATAATGTCCTGTTTACCAAAACAGTTTACCAGCTAACTTGAGAGCACACTTCCACACAATTTCAACTGAAATAAATGAAGTCACATCAGGACAACTGATGGCAAACATTTCAATGTAAAACAACCACAAAAGAACACTTTAAAAGAATTCTTCTTTGGACATCCCAAAGCTTCTTCTGCACCATCTCTAACTATATCAAATGGTCCAGTAAATGCAATTCCTGATGTGAAATTCTGCCTCAATTATAAAATTGAACTTTCACAGCTAAGATATAGTAACTTGAAATAAGTGGGGGGGGGCACCATTACTGTAGAGTAATACATTTCAAGCTAAAACTAGGTTCTAAAATAAACTGATTTTTAAAACCAGTGTCCCTCTGTAAGAGATGTCACATAGTTATAATTTATAACACAAAGTAATATGAGAAATTACACTCACTTACTTTTTTACATTTTGCTATGTTCTGTTCTTTCTCCCCACTTTTCTTCCTCTTCTTATCATTGACTTTTGTAACTCTTGTAGCAGTTAAAGTAATCGTCGTTGGTGTGTGTTGAAAAGCAGTATACAGTTCCACAGGAACCTCATCACCACTCTCTGTTGCACTGGTATCCCCATCTTTGAAACAAAGAATATTCTGTAAACAATCAAGTACTGCAGAAAGAACATTCACTACTTACTCGACATCTCCCTTCGAAACCCAAAAATTCATGCTGACAAATGCTCCAAGCACTCATATGCAAAGTTCACCAACAGTTGCAACAGCATGAAAGGGAAGAACACGCGAGCAACTGGCAATTAACAGATGTTTGTAATGCCAGATAAGAAAAAGGTACAAGAGTAATTCCATTCTTTGAATGGAATTATATTACCATATTCCATTATAAGCAAAATTAGAATCAGAACAAAAAAGGTTAAAAGAATATATTTGTTAACTTGTTCACTTATATTTAGCTTTTACTTGTAATACGGCGTTAGGATTCTCTCAGATGACTGTAATCTAGAAGGGCTTAAAATTAATAACAGACCAGCATTTCTTGTGAAGCCCTATTAATTAATACATGTAAGTTGTAATCAACTATTTCAACTGTAATTTGCAGTATCAAGTGCTTTTTTAGGGTAAATATGTCAATTTAGTCAAAAGCGCTTTCTACTCAAAATCCCCTAACAGTAACATTCTGCTACTTGGGGAAAAGGGATGATCACACACAGACTGACAGATATTTTTTTTTGTGCTGTGCACTCACAGACCTCATGGCCAAAGCCTGAAATTTAGCAGTCATCAGCATTTATGTCAAACACATATCCTGACCTGAAACAGGATTACCCTAGTTCTGTCAGGATGAAAGGCTGTGAAGGCTGGTGAGGATTGGAAGAGATGGTGCACACAGATAAGAGGCTGCTGTTCACATGTGCTCAGTACAGACTTCTTGGATTTTAGCAGCTTTTCCAAATATTCTGCTTTCAATAAATACATTTCACACTAAAAAAACCTTTTTCTCATACTGCACAGATGCCAGATTTACAAATACTTAATATAAGAGCAGAGGAAACATTCCTTCTGAGCTCAGAAGGATGTTGTCTTAATCAGTGCACTCAACAGTCCTAATTCTTGAAACCTTCTTTACTAAATAAAGAACTCCAGCTATTGGTTACTCTGGATTTTTCTTGCTCACAACATTCCTTAACAAGATTCTTCTGTGCATAGTAAACAATCCCATTTAACCATCTTGGTTGTTCTTTTGAACAATTTATCAAGTTACATAATTATGTTTTATAAATCAGGAATTGATAACAATTTCTGAATTTGTTTACATTTCTGCTGGGAATATTTTCTCAACTAGCATAAAAAGCACACAGAAAGAAGAAATGCAGAATAACCAAAGCCTGAGCAATGGAAACCCAAGGCCCTCTGTAGTCCCTCCACTAATGCCTGCACAATCATGGTGCCACAGCCACACACCTCTCCTCCCCTTGCCCCAAACCCCACAAAACACTGTCTTCCTTAGGGAAGATACATTTCAACACTGTGCTCTAACTTACTGTAAAGAATAATTACCTCAACTGAACATATAATTACATAGAGTTGTTTTGAGACACTCCTTCCTAACCTATATAACCTGCTTTCACTTTGAGGAGCCTTAGTAAAGCACACTAAGTGAAGATGTTGAGTTTCCATGTTGGAAGGCAAGATTCAAACTCTCCAAATTTCACAAAGTTATGGGCCCAGATTTATTCACCTATAAGCAGCAAGTGACCTCGACAGCATCAATTTAAAGACCAGGCAGCTTGAAGCAACTTATCCTTGAATAAGTTGCACATCTAGATATTTTACCTTAAAAAAAAAAAAATCACAAAAAAAACCCCAAATCCAAAACACCCAGTATTCAACTAGTAGGGGCTTAACTAAGGTGCTCCCTTCACCGAACCACAGTACGCAATCCAATGATCCAATGCACAGTAAGCAGCATCAGAATTACACTTTTATACCAGAACAACAAAATCCAACACCACATACAACCTCAGGCTGAATATTGTGCCTGGAAAAGATGTGATGTGGTTACACACAGAAATTTAGGACACACAGTTTTTGTATTATATAAAATGTTCATCCAAAAGCTCTTTTCTTGAAGTAAACCAACTGATCTACTACTTGCTCCCTACTGTTGCTAAACCAGCAATACTTTAGGTATCTTTACAATAAAAACCACTGTACTGTAAAGAATTCCCATATCTAAATGAAAAGCCCTATATATACACACTCATCAAAAAACATCCAAATAATGCAATCTTACCTTTTATCAAACACCTGTAACTTATTATTAAGTGAATTACAAGTAACATTCTGCTACTGTTGAATATTTAAAACATTGAAAAGATGCATTTGAACTGATGCCACTTTTGCTTTTCCAAATTGGAATCATCTATGAAAACTGGCCCTTTTACTAATGTCTTGTGAGAGTTCACACCCAAAATCACTAAGTCCTCCTCAACTAAGTAATAACAGTCAACATGAAGTGCATTTAGCCAAGATAAAGATGCAAACACACACATTCAAGTTATGTATTATAAATCACAGTAATCAACACTGCACTTATGACTGAGTTTTAGGCTAAAGAGGACCAGAATTTGTCTTTATTTTTAACTCTATTTGGATACTTGAGATTTACCACTTAGTAATCTCTTCTCCTACTGAATACATGTAACAGATTTAAAAGACTGCTCATCAGGATTAAGGGTTGAACATCAACTTCTTTTCAGCTCCTGTTAAGATTTTTCATTTTTCTTCCCTTTTAAGTTTATTGTAAATGATCAGACTGTGCCTACAAATCCCAAGAGATGACTTAAAGAGCTGAGACCATCAACTTCCCCTATCCTGTATGTAAACTCAAGTTCATTCTCACAGTATCATCCTACCACTCAGGGAACTCATTAACTCCACATAAATTATAAATCTACTTGTTCTATTCTTTAAATAGAATCAGCAAAAATAATTTTGAATTCTAAAAAAATTTTAGACTTTAAATTTTGTTGACCTAGTAGGTTAACAAAAATTTTACAAAAGAAGTTTGGTTTCATTAAAATGAAAAACAGACAAAACAGACAATGATTTAGTTTTATGAGTAAGACATTAATGCCTTTAACAGACTTTAGGTAGTTTAGCCCCAGACAACATGAAGTGTCAACTGCACCAAGAAGTACGATGAAGCCACACAGACTTCTAGGCCACACCACACATTTCAGATTTTCTGAAGTCATATTAAGTGGGCATCAGGACCTTACCTACATGGTATTTTTTAAAGAAATCTTAAAACACACTCCATTACTTTAGAGACATGATTTAAAACACGTTCAAGAAGATGACTGCCTCCTCATTTATTACTTTTGTAATAGAGCCTGAAAGTACCACCTGTCAATCAAAACTACTACAACATATTTTGGTAATGGCTGGAAAGAACTCCTGACATTAGGCCAGGTGAGTTTTAAAATTGTGTCAACAGGTAGGAGAGCTTATTTCATAAAACACAGTGGGTACTTGCACTACATGCCTCATCTAGTTATCAAAGGCAAACAAATCCTCAAAACATCATATTACCCAAGTTCAGCAACTTTTCTCGTTGTCAAAACAAACCCAAACCCATACCAAAACACACCCCCAATCTACATCCAACAAATCAGAATTTGGATTTCCTCTCAAAACTTCTTTTCAAAAAGAAATTAGACTTAGAAATCCTTTCATCTCAAAAGAAACCTGAATGTTCAAGAGATTGAATTACTCCACATTAATATGAAAAAAAGTAGTTCTGACAGCCATTAATAAAACACGTGGAACTGTAACAATTCTGATACGACATTATCTTGGTAATAATACAGTCAAATAAAAGGCATTGATTTACTGAACCTTAAATGCTGAAGGCTGTCAAAGCTGCACGAACCATGTATACAGTCTTAAGCTCTATACAGTTGATTTATACCTATAAGCTTTACTGAAGAAAAAGTTTAAGTTTTACTCACCTGACATATTTTCCCTTTTCCTTCGTTGCAACAGCACTGCCCTTTCTTTATCTAAACTCCTGTAATTAGAAAATAAATCAGTGCATCTAAGTATGAAAACAGACCTTTACCATTTCCCAATGACTATTACAGAATAAACGGTAAACTAAGTGAATATTCAGATACTGAGAAAACACGAATTGTGCACTGTTCCATTCCATTTTGATGTAAGGCACATACACGTATCCAAATCACTTGAAAACAAAACAAAACAAAATTTGATAGCTCAGAACAGACTGACAGTTGGTCCAGGGATTACAGATAAGCAGGCATTACACCATTTTCCTGCAGATTCTTCAGAACAATCATCACAATACAATACTGAACAAATATTCTATGATGACGAGGCTCAAATTACTTCTCAGAAAGAAAAGAACAATTTCCTGATATTTCAAATTTTCTGAACACTTTTTTTTTTGCTGTTTAATTAACAATCTACAACATAAGCAACAGTAGCATTTTATACTCTACATGGCAGGACAAGAACTATGATGGCAGTCAGGTATAACCTGCCTACCAGAGTCAGAACAAAAAGCCATCCTTGCCATGTCATATGACTTCAAGGTGGAGAGAATGGGGGATAGCAGTGGGGAGAGGGAGAGCACATGCAAGGACTCATTCCAGAGCAAGAAATCCTCCAAGTGATCCCTGCAGCCTATGAGAACAGGGCCATAACCTGAGAACACTGTTAAGAGTTCTTAATGTACAACAGCCACGAAATGAAATATGGAACAGACTGTCTGTGTATTGATCCAACTGAGAAAGGATCCAGGAATCGCTGCTATTTTCATATGCATTTCAAGGGTTTACTCCTGCTGCCTAGTGAAGTGAAACAGTGACTACTGGGCACAAGGGCATGGAGGCTGGTAAGACTGCCTGCATCAGAAATGCAGCTCTTTAACTGGAACTGTCAGGGCTATTCTACATGGTCTGTTTTATCTGCTGGTTGTTAGAGTGACCAATTTTGTTTTCCCCAGCAACTCGTCTTTTTCGTAACTCTACTCATTCCACTTTAATTCAGAATTCAAAATAAACCAAATTACTCACCTGGGTTGACAACGTTCACACAGATATATGTCAGGAATATGCTGTCTGTCAATCCCCATGCAGTCAATGTGCTGCCAGACACTTTAAGGAAAAAAAACAAATAAAACCTCAACTTTTAAGTACAATTTTAAAAACTGTGTGCACAACACACAGAGACAGAAAGGAAGCTGTTCTTTTTTTTTTATTTCTTCATCATTTTTGATCTTTACTCAAGTTGAATACTGCCTAAAACTGTATCTCAATCACCATCTTTGCCACCAGCGTGCCAGCTGACCCATTTTCTCTCTTGGAAACATTCCTCTTAACACCAGAAATAAAATGGTAAATTATCACAAGAGAGAACAAGACAGACAAATATCCACAGCAACAACACTTATGCTCTACATAGCAAAAAGTGTTCTGTTTTTAAACAAAAGGATTCCATTTTCTTTTAGGAATAGATATGTATTTTTATTTTTAGACACAGAAATATACACAAAGATATGGGTTTATTTACTTATAAATTTTAAGAGAACATTTAAAACATACACGTGGCATGACTGGTAGTACTGTTGTGTAGCACAGAAAGAGCTTTAACTGATTCCCACAGTCAGGGAACAGAGGCTGCTCGCTGAAGGCTAACCTAAAACAGTAGTTTATGCTCATCCCCACATTGCTAGAAGGATTAGGGACACAAAAATCGTTATCTTCCCACTTGCGGATTTACCACAACTCTTTCCAACTCCTCAGAGGTAATTGCTTCTTCAAAGGAAACAGACTAACTGGTGACTGCCTACAACTGCACTGCTGAGAGAACATCTTAATATGTTTCAAAATAAGGGGCAAAGGTTATCAGAATCAAGGACCACGAGAAATTACTAACAAGCTTGTTATGCAAGCAGACAGAAAAATGGAACTCAATTTAGTGTTTTAATTAGCTGTAACAATCATAAATACATGAAGATCTAATAAATTCAGCAGCATTCATTAAGCATATCGAGGGTAAAAATAGGGACTAATATTAAGTAGAAACATGAGATTTGTCTTCTCCTGTTAATTTTTCCAACTCCAAGTATTTAATAGCAGTCTTCTATTATACTGTGATCAAGTAGGTGCTTATGCATAATGACAGAAGTTTAAACATTTAACTTCAGCTTCTCCTGTAAGAATCTAGGTTAGTCTTTTCATACTTAATAAAAATTCTTAAAACTATATCCTTTGAAAATCAAAGAGTTCTTATCATAAAGATCACGCACAGAGAAATCTGTATTTGAAAAGTTTCTTTCATATTACTTTGCATCCTTCAAGTTGCCTGATTTACATATACATAATTCACCAAGATGCTTTATTAGTACACGCAGATGAAGTGATCCCTTGGTCTTTGTTTTATCATAGTAACAAACAACCTGGACAAAATACCAGAGACACATCCTTTTCAGAAGGGAAAAAAGATATGTCCTTATTAAGCTGCAGCGCACTTAAAGGCATGAACAAAAGAAGGAGTAGTCAAGACAGACTGGAATAAAGTATAAAATACTCACTGGCCTTAATCAGCTATCTTACCTATTAGAAAATCACATAACCTACAAACACTTTTTTGATGGAAGGAAATTCCCTGTCCCTCAACATAATTAAAACATCATTTAGTTACACTTCCTTTCAGTGCAGCTTGAACTTTTAAGTAATTTTTACCTTTTAAATTATTTTAATATCCATTACCTGCATTTGTCACAACAGATCATATATCCATCATCATGTGTAAAGCCACAAATGCATCTGGTAATATCAGTTCCATAGCTTCCATCCTCTGACGTACTGATGGTAGTAGCACTGGAGGTTTCATCGAAGTTGGGAGTGGTAAATATGCCTACTTCATTCTTGCTTATAAGCACTGATGGAGGAGGAGAAGCTGGAGGCGTTGGAGGAGGCCGAGCACCATAGTTATGGTCCTAGATTTTTGTTAAAAGATAAGTTATAACAACTCATAAATGCTCATACACTGATGGTTATTCAAGCCCAAGTGTATGAATTCACTTGGCAAAGAACTTTAGAGAGTTATTTTTTAGTAAAAGGTTAAAATTTTATTTCTGTCATTATTCAATCTTATTTTCTAATTTCTTAACTGTTTAACATTTAAGTCCACTATGTTCTGTACTCTCCTTCTAATCAACCATCTTTAGTCAACCTACCCAGCTCCCAGTAAGATATAGAAATATAAGCATGAATCAGTTTTTCCATCTAAGAACAGCTGATTTTACATAATACATTTTGTACAGAATACTTAGCACAAAACTTACTGCATAGGGCAAACCAATGTAACTGTGTGAATGCGAGCTGCTGGTATACAACTGGTGCGGATAACTGTTCGATTTTTCAACTACCACAGGGCTAGCTTCTACAGATTCTGGTCTGCAAGGCAAAAGACAGATGAGAAACAAATGTAGTTAATATGTAATTTATCTTAATAAATTGAAGGCATTTGCTGCACAATTTCTAACTAATTCCCTGCCGATTCTGTTTGAAGGCACATATAGGGGCAGGAACAAACTTGCACCCTCCCGGCAACCCCCTCACTCAAAAAAAAAAAAACAAACCCAAACAACCAAAAAAACCAAGAGTGGTAATAGGAAAAAAAACCTCAAACCACACTGAGCAGTAACAGAATCTGCAGAAAGGAATTCTGACTGAGAACTGAAGCTGTAATTCCAAGCACTGCTCACTGATAAGAGCCCTGCAGTGACACACAGCGGCAGTGACAGGGCACCACCCGCACCTACTGTTTCCACAAGTAGAAATCCTAACTAGGGCAAATCTATCTAAACAAGGTAGTTTCTATCGATTTATCTTTGAATAGAAAGAAAAAAAATTGCTAACAATTTGTAAGAAGTTTTTGTAATCAAAGGCAGTGCCTTCTTCAATATACAAACTATGTTTCCTATACACTAAACCACAACATGAAAGACAGGAAAGATAAAGGATACTAAAACAGGAACAGACACAATTTGAGCACAAGAAATTACACATTCATTATCTTTCTTCAGCAGTTACATATTCATGTGTGCATGCAAGTATACTCTCATGACTGAGAGAATCTTTTTCACTGCACAATGTAATTCAATCACAGTAGGACAAAGGAATTCAGGTTACCTAAAGTGTTTGTTTGTTTGTTTTATACACTGAAAGGCACGGCAAAATACCAACACCTAAAACTGAAGTGGCTTTGACTCCCATTAAAAGTCAGGCCTGGTTCACTTTACTTATTTTTATTACAAGTGAAGTCTATTTCCCATCACATATATCTTACTAACTCCTGGAGCTGATTTTGAAAACAAACTTGGTATTTCTGAAAAAGAATAGATACTGATTTTTTTTTTCTTAGACAATAAAATATTCAGTAGAGGCTCTGTTTTGCCATGAAGCCATACTAGTTTGATTTAAAGGACACAAGCAACTTACATTTGTTGGTAATACTTTTTTGTAAAAATATAATTAATTATTAGCTTTCTCAAAACAAAATACAGTATTTTGACATCTATTTGAAAGTGTTGTACTAAAGGTTTTGGTAGTCCCTTTCTTCTTATGACCTTTTCCCCATGTGAGCTTACTACATGACAGAATTGTTTAAAAAAAAAAAAAAACAAAAAAACCCCAAAAACCCACAACAGTCAAAAGCACTAGTGGGTAAAGACTTCAGTTTCTGGAGTCCAAGAAAAAAACCATCTTTTTTAAAAGATCAGTGTCTCCAACCATCATCAGCTGCTTTTTTAGAGAGTGAGCAAACACAAGAGCACACAAATAATATGAAGTACTAACATTAAAGATACAACTTCTGACTAGCATGAGACTAACTCTGACACTTCATTGCCTCATAAACCCCCAAAAATCCTTATTTACTTTCTTATACTACTTCACAACTTGAAAATATGATTTTATTTGGAGTTTGCTGGAATTAACTTCTAGAAGCAGCCCAAAACTTACCAGGTTTATAAAACCCATTACTAAAGAAAACCACAAAAGATGAAAAACTTGTGCCTTTCCAGCCAATTTGCCTTCACCAACATAACACATCTGTGTGGTAATCATACATCTGTCTCCCAGTTAATCCTTCTGATGATCAAGCCCAACAAAATGCCAATGAATGAGGCATCAGCTACCCTCCATCATGGCTAGGGCAGAAATCAAGTTCTTCTTCTCCAGTACATGAGGGTCTTGACAATTGCATTATTTCTACTGCTGTTCTTCACCATCTCCTGAATGGGACAAGTGGTAGCAGAGTTACTCTTACCCACTCTGCCTTCAATGCTCAGCCTCAGTCTTGTTGGGAAATACTCAGTTTTCAGAGCAGGAAGGCTTCCTGATACAGGACAGGCACGGGGAATTCTAGTACAATCCACCCTTCAGCAATGCCACAATTAATTTAGGAGAACTTCCTTCATTAAAAATAAGTATTACTATGACCTAAATACCAGCTACTTTAGCACAGGAATATGCAGTGAAAGATGCCAGAATGTAAGTGTCCTAAAAAGAGAGGTCATGTATTTCATCTACTATCTAAAAAAAATGAAAAGATACTCCAAATCTCTTGCAAAATCTGAGGCAAGACAGTACAGCCTCCTCCCTAAATCCATTTCTACCTACTCTAGCAATTTATAAACCACTTAAGAGAACAAAGTTTAATATTTAGAGGCATAAGAGTTGTGGGTAGCAGAAGCATTAGGCTTCCAAAAACAAAATACATATATCTATCTTCAACTATTTAAATACTCATAAAACAGATTCAGATCACAAGTTAGTAAGTAAAAAGCACAGCTTTATTTGAATAAAGAGAACCAGAAAAACAGTGGGAGAAAAACCAGGTGATAAAGAAAGGCATTTCAGTATTTCATTAAGAGTTGTAACAAATACAAATTTAGAGTAAAATCAGCTTATCTGGGGGGCACAGATACTACTTTAATTTATAACAGATGTTCACCAGAGCTCTGAACGTAACTGCTGCTGTTCCATTTATCCACTACACTACACTGGGGTGGGGAAGGAGGTGGCAGAGCATTCACTGAAGCCAGAAATTAACCACCATAGGTTTCCTTTACAGTCAACAGAAAAGTGATAAGGATCCCATAAGCAGTACAGAATGAGTATCATTTCTCCAGGGAATCACACACAGAAGTAACTGTGGCAGACAGGTCACTGAAATCCTTATCATCCCTGCTGTGCCCACCATGTGCATGACCTTAAAACAGAACACACACATTCTATACTATTATTTGTTCAAAGGTAAACCCTTCTTCTGAAAGGGGCATCTCAGAATTGGACATTTAGTGAAGGAATGTCTCTTGGTAAAACATTTAATTGTACAGATGATTAAAGTATGAGATACAAGTTAATTTAAAAATTAGGTTTTAAATTTCTGGAGGTTCAAGGAGCAGGGCCCAGGCAGCAAGGCAAAACTACTGTACTGTACACATCCTGTCCACCCCCCAATCTCACCATGGGCGGTCTTACAGACATCCCAAAAAGTAAGTTTTCAGGAAGAAAAGTGTAAGCGTTCACATCTGTGAGACCACTACAAGGTTTTCCTTGCTTGCATTTTTGGACATAAGCCAGTTCTGTAACAGACTGAGGTACTAAGCCTGTCAGCCTTCTGGTCATAGCACATTTTTCAGCTTCACCTCAAACAACTACAGTCTCAGAGTCCAACAAAGGCAGATATTTATGTTATTTTTGGTATTCATCAAAACTGAAGTGTTTGCATTACAATGTATCTGAAGTTTGACCAAAATACTAATATTACTTCCTAAATTAAATAATCATTACTGTAATAAACTGACTCCTATTTTGCTAAAATATTATATGTACTTGTTAAGCGCTGTGGTTAGCAATTAAAAACTGTGCAAAATATTCACAAGGAACAAAATAAAATGCTCCTGGGTTGCAATGATTTAAGAGATTCCTGTAACTTGCAAACAGGAACATAGTATTTTATCAAATCAATTAAAAAAGGAGAGATGCCTGTATTTTAAAAAAACTAAGAAACAAAACTCCACAGGATGTTCACTCTGCAAGTGAAACAACTCATGTTCTGGGTCATTTCTGTGTATTGTCAGCAGATGGCATTAGTGAGAAATTAAAAGCAACACAGGAAAGCAGTTTACCAAAACAGTCCCTACAAGCTTACACTTAACCTAAACTAAGGGAATCAACTGTCAACGATTAGAAGCAATTCTTCCCTAAAAAGTGATTTCCCCCACCTATTCCTTTTAAATACTGCTTTGTTTCTGACCATTTAATAATTTTTTTAAAAGTATGCCATTTTTGACTAATAACCAATATACAATCAGTCCTTAGAATTTGGGGCTATTAACGACTTCTAAAGAATGTAGGTCTTCAAACGGGAAACAAAATCTCATTAAAACTAAAATATTCAAAGGCAAGTGGGTATCCAAGCTTTAGGCTATGAACACTTAACTAACAGTACTTCCTGAAAATGTGTCAAAACTCCAAATGGAACCTTCTGCTTTCACACATGCTTCAGCAACATCAGTCTGCCACACGCTAGTTGATAAGGTCTGATTTTCAAGTTCAGGTTTGTTTTCCATTTGTACCAGCACACCTGAGCACTATCCGGCTGAAGGTCATCGTAGATAAAGGAATACAACATATTTTGCATGACATTTCATCTATCCAAACACATCTGTCAGGCTTCAATACCTCCCTAACAAACAAGCACTGCTTTTCTACCAGGGAGTTGGTTCTGCTCTCTGAACACCTCGTAGCAGGCCCTGCAAGTACAGGCTGGCCCAAGATCATCTGTATGTAAGTCTACAACAATGCTCATGATTTTTTCTTAGGGATACTGAACTCAACACAGCGATCTGCACACTGTGACTGTGAGGTTTATTATACAGGCCTTCTCTCTAAAAACCAGAACAGTACTATCAATGGCACTTCCCAATATGTAGCTTATACCTGTGCTCTAAGCTACACTTGTACTCTCTGCAGTCAGGAGGAACATTTTGAACCTTCCGAAATGGCTGGTTCTGCTACTGGTCCTTACCAGTAAGAAGTCACACATACTCATCTTCAGTAAGATCTACAAATTATGCCAAATATGTGTTCTGACTACTGTGGTATTATGATCATCTATCTGGAGATCCCACTGAAGTACATACAAGAACAGGAGTATTTCATCCAATTTTTAAGACGTTTAAACCTTTTAATAAGTTATTCTTACATACCTACTTGCTACAATTATTAAAATAATATGTGAAACTATTAATCACATAAACTATCCACTTTTTTTAAGAGGTTTATGCCTTGGTTCAAAGCATAGGGTAAAATATTTCAGCAGGGACGGTACTAAACAAAGAGCATTTTCCTGGGCTCCTTCTCATGCATAATAGGGCTTGCCACTCCCCCATTTTTGTGTTTGCTCATGCTTCAGCAACTGATGAAGTAATATCAGACCTGCCACTCACAGTGGAGAAATTCCAACTCTTCCCTCGTGGAAGAATCCCAGAACTTGCTCAAAGACCATCTCTGACTGTTATTAATACAATCTATATACAACATGTTACTCTCTGGAGTGAAAATGTACCATAAAAAAAAAGATATAGATCATATAGATGGTGATAAAAAGGTTTACGACTGTGTAAACTGGTAGGTTAGGGACACACCTCAGTGTCACACTTCACTTTGGACACTGACATGGCTCCTCAATCAGCGTAAGCCAATCATGCACCTACTACACATATTTCAGTGTAAGTACAGCAGAGATGATAAGAATTAATCTAACTGGTAACAGTCACTTAACATCTGAAGAAAAGCAGTTCCTAACTGGGTTGCTCTGCCACGGTATCAAGCAAATAACACACTCTGAACTCTATCTTGTTTATACTGACAACTACATTTATTTATTTTCATTTCAGCACGGCATGCTGTGTCTGCAAGGAATGTCAGCAACCTCGGGAATCATGACCTTCTCTAAACATAAAAGTGCAGGAAAAGATAATGAAAAGAGTTGTGAACAGTTCACTAAATTTAAAAAGCTTCTGTACCAAGGTAATTAGTATTCATGATATGAAGAAATAAACATTAAAAATTTAATGTGACAAAAAAATGAAATGCAAATTCTTGGTTCTCTTCAGAGAAATGGTGCAAACTTAGAATAGCCTTATATATAACTGGAAACACAGGAGAGAAATATCCCTTTTAAAAGCTGTTAAAGAGTTCTGTTCAAACTTTCCTTCAAAGTTTGGAAGGAAAACACTTCCTAAACAGATTAATACTGCTTAGCACATGCTCTCAAGCAAGTAATGAGTGCAAGCTATTGAAACTTGTGTTATCCAATACACCTGTTCAAACGTTTTATATTTATAAGAAAATCTCAAGCATGTACACAAACTAGAAGTCTAACCCATTTTTTCAGTACCTTACACAAGCAAATGTATGTTTGTGGCAACCAAAGATAGGGAGCCTTTAACATTACTACAGAAAGGCTCAGAGGAAGGATAAGAGTAACACCATCTCAAGTGGTGAAGAAAACCAAACCAAACCCCAATTCAATAAAAATTATTAATTTCACATTTCTGCTAAGAAATTTATATTGGTTTTTTTCATATGTATATGTAAAGAACTATATGAGATTGTCTGTGGCTTACACGAACTATCCTGATCTTTAGCGTCATTTCACACCCAACTCTTCCCCACAAAACCTCGCCCATCACGCACTCTACTAATGCAAAAGCAACAATCAGTGATCAACAATACCTAAAGTGTAGCCCATCAGTACCTAAACTCTGGCCCATCAGTACTCGGGGGAAAGGATGGGGGGGTGTGGCCGAACCAATCACAACACAAAAAAACCTCCCACAAAACAAAGTAACAGAAAAATCCACAAGTCACCCTCCCAGTCCTCCAAAATGCAGAAATTCACTACATTTATTTCATGCAAAGCAGAGTTTACTGAATTCAGGATTTCACTGGCTCTTTTAACCCTTTATACACACTCACTAAGTAAATGAGTAACAAGTGAATTTATATTAGGTTTCCAATTAGAAATAACTTTGTGAAGACATGGTATTAACTAACTAAGCTAGGCCTTCAATTTTCATAAATACAGGCACCCTTGTCTCAATTACTACTACTGTTTTGCAGTTTAACACACAACATTACCTTTCTAACATGCAAAGTCAAAAATATTTTTTACACAGTTAAAAAGGAAACTGAAATGTCAAGTACTTTAAGCATGAAAAAACAAAACAAGTAGCATCTTTATTTCTAATGAGCAAGAAAAACATGCATCTACAGTAAAGTTTAGCTTCTCAGCTTTGCTCCCGCTGAAGAGGAAGACACTAACTTAAGAATAAAGTGACAGTTATTAATTAAAGTAATTAACGATTCAACAAAACTAAGGACACTCCTAAGTTCTCTCCAACTGTGTTCAAAAAATACTCAGAAGGAAAAGATAAAAATAATTTTAAAATACGTAAGTAAACTTACAAATCACGTTCATATACTTACTCTGAGCCTGCAGCCATTTCCAAATAAGAAGTATCTGCTGTGTCAACCCCCAATGGGATCACTATGCTCATGACGTTCGTTTCTGATAAATTCGATTACTACGGAGTCCTATGCATTGGTATCCAAAACACTGGGGCATGCCAGCCACAGTGCTCATTGCAAACATCTAAGTGCATCCACAAACCCTGCCAAAAACAAAACAAAACGTGCAGGAGACTCAGTCAGTTCATTTTAAAACCAGGTAATTTTATATCACATTGATTTTAATAAAGAATTTCTCACCTGTACCTGCCACAATTATTTCGTTAGTTTTATTTTACACTAGCAAAAGGAAAACATTGAATTTCAATCATCTTTAAAAGTTAACTTCAAATACACTTCTTTTAAGACTGCGATGATCATAATGACTGAACTTAAAAACATTACAAACTGACAAAATATATTATCATTCAAATTAGTGATTAAAGCCCACAGCATATTCAGGGAGATGACAGAGACTCACTCTATGGCAGATTTACCAAACATGAAGAACATCTGCTTACTGCCTTACATTGTCAAAGCCCAGTTGCTATACACCTTTCAACAAAAACTGGTTACAGAATTTTTCAAGCAGGTCTTAGACAGCATTGTTCACTTTTACTTTGTACTTTAAAAAAAAACCCAACTACTTAATGTCTTAACTTCCATTTAGTATTTTTTAAAGCAAAATTCATTCTAATGATTCACAATAATGAAAAAATTTCCATCTTATTTTAAAAGATTGCCATTAGAAGATATTACAGTGTTCTGGTGTCACTTTTAGAAGTTATTTTTTAAGTAGTAAAATAAAAAGAATCAGTAGCAGTTTTCAATTGTAGAGCAAAGCCACAATCTGCTTGACTTGCACAAGCACAAGGATTGCCCGTTACTACCATTCTCCCACTTCTCTTAGTGCACAAGGTAGAACACCCAGCCAAGTACAGGAGATGTAAAAAGCACCTCAGTTATTCACAGATTAGTAAACTAATGCACTTTTACACACTAATACAGCTTTCCACAAGTGACTAGGTAACTGAAGTAAAATAGCCCAATAACTTCAGTACTTACAAAATGAGTAATTGCAAACTCCTTCCAAGATGTCAAAATTGCAAGAACACACACCATTCATTTGCAATGAAGCACATACAGTGCGTACTAAGTACACTTCTCTCATACCCCAAAGTGTAGTATCTTAGCTGAAGTCTACAAAAGCCTAACAGTTTTGAGATCAACATTTTTTAACATGCCTATCCTTGCCAAACACTAGATTGCCAAGAAATAACTAACAAGCCCCCGGTGTAAAATGGACTTCAGACAAGCACTATGGAATTACATTTGATTTCCTCAGAACAATGAAGGGGCATGTACAAGGCATCTCTAAAGTATGAGATGGCAGCAAGTCTTCATCTGACCTCCTAAATTCTGTAACACTACTGAAGTTTGGCAATTAACATAAGAACATGCAGAGATGTTTGAAGTGCCTAAACCTACAGTTCATTCCCCTTCTAGACAGGAAAAGTTGTGTTTTGGTCCTATTACATGAGACAACAAACACAATGAACTGGAAAGCAATCAGGCCACCAAAACCGTAGAAGTATTTTGCTCTCCTCATTTAAACACGGAGTATTTTCTTACTAAATACCACAAATAACAAACTGTATCACTAGCTAGGCATAAAAGTAAGAACAAACATGCTATTTTCATGAATAAGAAGAGAGAAAACCCCGTTAAACCAAAAGCAGGTACTGAGTATTTTTATTAGTAGGCATGAAAAAACCCCAAGCCCCTCCCAAGAGTTTACGTGAGCACTCTTGCCGCCATATAGGTTCCTCTACTTGTGGGATGGGACTCTGAACAGCCATACCTACAACTTACAGGAAACATCAACTTACCATTTAGTTCTCTTCTTCTAAAAAGAGTAAAAAATATACCCAATAACTGAAAGGAAATCATGCAATTTTTAAAGTCCAGGTAAATCAGCTACCCCAGGGTTACAGGCTGTTCCATTGCTACCTGCAGAGTGACCTATGCTAACAAAGCATAATGGAGTTTTTATTTTATACCTCTTACTAGATAATTCAAGAAAAGCAGTTTTAGTGTTTCAAAGTAGGTCCAAAAGACATATTGGACATTGCTGCCTGGGATCAAGACCATCACTTAAGATGCTTCTTGCACTTAAAATTGCTTTTGGTCATGGTGTGGGGTTTTTTTAATAGCATTTCCTTTAGACACTTCTGGTCTGGTAGAGTAACAACTGGAAATTAATGTAGGCAAAAATGCCCAGGAGAGTAATGGAAGAAAGAACTTGCTTAGACACCTGTCTCATGGGCTATGACATCTCCAAACTTACCTAAAAACAACTGAAGTTACCCAATCATTATATATTCAAGTGACCTCCACTGTCGATGCAGAAAGAAGAGATCTGGTTACCAAATCTGAGAATCAAGTGAAATTTGGCATCTTTCTTCAAAGTAATACAGAAAAAGAAGAGCTATGCTATTTTTTAGAGCTATGTATAGATTGGGAATTAACTGCTAATGCGTGGTTCAATTAATGACAATCTTTGACAAAGCAAATACATCACCATTCTTATAAAAAAACAAACAAACAAACAACACAAAAACAAAAAAGAGGGGGAACACAGCCAAGACTAATTTCTTACCCTATGGAAGGTTATTCTGAGCTTTGTCAAAATTCACTCAAAAAATTCTAACAGCCTTAGAATACAATAAAACCAGAAACTCGAGGAATCAAAATTTATTCTGCTGAACAGCATTAAAAAGCTGTTTCATCTAAAAGGAAGCAGAACGTGACGGTAATATTACTTCATTATTTTTTACCACCATCTTCATCACACACAAAAAACCCTCTAAGGTTTTTCCTTTTTCTACAGTTAAGTATGGGAGAATGGAGGCAGTCACCTGCTCAAAATACCTACACAACCAAGTTGATTCAAACGAATATTGGTCATTATTTGTGAGAAGTCATCCCCAACAAATGCCTCTAATGGGGGTGGGAGGGATCTAGGATAAATTAATTACACTACACCCACTTATTACAGAGAACTGTGACCTTATATATAGGTCATCCAATTTTGAACACCACAGTGATATCAAACTGAGGATGACGGAAAGCAGTTATTTTTGATCAAGTCAGAACCAGAAGCATTGTCATGACATACTAAAATATTCCCAGAACTTTAGAAAGAAAATAACGCAATCATGGGGGAACTTTATCTATCTTAAAAGTGACTGGTTATCCTTTGAAGCTTGATATTTTAGATGAGTCATAAAATACTATCTGCTGTCATAATTTGGTACTTTCCAATTTCTGCAAGTACCCAACTATTTCAAGTAGTTATTCTTTCAGAACTCTGACAATCCGTCATCCAGGGCCTTTAAGAAACTGTTCTCATAGGTGCATCCATTTAAATAATTGGCCAAGAGTAGAAAGAAGGGTGCTACAAAAGTTGTCTTCCTACAATCCAAGCAGTTTATACACAATTTACTGTTGAAAAAAAGTCTTTCTTCCACAATACGTGAATTTGAACGTTAGGAATACCACACTGGTTTGTCCAGTTAATTTCAGGACCATATAGTTAAAAGCCACAATATAAAAACCGCTGGCCCAAAGTTCATTGATCAGATCTTTACTGGGCAAAGTAACTCATCTACTGTACCCTAACTGACAAGAGTAGAGGTCCTCCAATTTTGTTCTGGTCCACTCTATTCTTTTAGTGATAATACACTCCAAGCTTTGAAAGAATTTTGGAATTTCTTAAGATTCACCAAATTTTCCCATTATCACCCTACCAGTTCAGTTTTATTATAGGAAAAAATATTCCTTATTCAAATATATTTTGATTTTATTTAATTGCAGTAAAAGTTTCTTGCCCTTATAGCACAATTTTCCTCTTTAAACCCAAAAAACTTTTTGTTTAATGTGCTTAAACCACTTATTTTGTGCAAGATCAACCTCCTGCATGAAACTCATCACACTTTACCATTCAATCACATTGGTTTACACTTTCTATGGCACATTTTCTCTCTAGAGAATACAAAGGGGCTTCTTGACTTAACAGCTGTATTAAGTCTAAAATATTTGAAGCCTCACCATACTTCTTATTATTCACTTTAGGACACTTTTTTTTAAAATTAATTGTGCTCTAACAACAGAGGTGTAAGAGCACAATACATTCCAAAATATTCATCTCTGTGGCTTTGTACAGAGAACATAATTTATGCATCAAACAACAGAAAATAACTTATATATTATCCCCAAGGTATTCCACTTACAGCATTAATCTGTGGTCTAACAAAGATCAACTGTGTCACATCAGAAGAGAAAACCTTTTCACTGGTACAGAGAGGAGGAAAAAACTCTAAATACAGAGGTCTCAGCTCTTGAATCAGAAGGTAAATTGGTAATCACCCGAAGCTACATCAGCAGTTTTGAACCTAATCATACACGATCTAAACATTCAAAACAAAACCCACTGGCCATGCTCAGAGGGAACTCCAGGCCTGCTTATCAGCATTATCTTTCCCCTCCCACTTTCTTCTTGTAGGACCATCAAAATCTATACAACAGACTCGGGAAACAAGCAGATGACAGATCACCTAAAGCACACTTGAAAAATAAGAACTTGAAAGTGTAGCCAAACTGTCCAGATGACTCCAACAAGGTTTCATAATCCCAGCTATCAATCATCCTCTAAGTATCAAGAGTCCAGGCAAATTCTTCCAATGCATTTTATATGTAAGTTTCTTTTTGTTTCTTTTAAATTTTTACTCCCAAGAAGGCAGAAAAAATATTTTTTCAACATTCACCTACTTTCACTTGTGTTTTTTTACAGATTCAGAAACTGAGTTCCCAGTACTCACACTGAAACAGAAAGCAACAATATAAATCTGCTCAGAGAACTCTAACTTACCTTTACTTTTACTAATCATGAAGCATATTTTTCAAGCCAGAAGAAACCAAGCAGTACTTGCTGTACTGTGAAAGGTACAGTCATGTGCTACACTGGTAGTTCACCTCTGCAAGACATTTTTTAAGAAAGGAGAAGAAAGAGGAAATAGGACTAGGAAGCCTCCTAGACCCCATACTGTATCTCTAAGAATCCTAGAGCTCTCATCTAGGTGCACAGACGCAAAACTTTTCATAAAAATCAAAGGTAAGAGGCAGTGGCACTGACAGTAACAACATGTTTGCCTTGATGAAAAAAAAATTCCTAAAGAAACATTAATATATCAAGATAATATTGCTTATAATAATATTTTTATCACAATACAGTGGGGGTTTTAATCCACATTTACCTCTAACACTATAAAAAAAAAAGTTGGGGAAAAATTAATGGAAGCCAGGTTTACTATACTTCATACATCTGACAGCTTCAGATAGACAGTGTCACTGTTGCTTGTTTTTCATTTGCCATTAATCAATTCTCAGATTCTGTTGTCACGTGACAAATACGAAAAGCAAAAAGCATATAAAAATTACTGAAAATACATTTACTAGAGAAATTAGGAATAACATTCAAGCCAAGGGGCAAGATAATATTTGTTTTAACCTCTTCAAGTTTCTCTCATCACTAGGCATTACAGAAATACTGAGTCTTTTTGTTACTGTTTTTATGACTTCAATATACATCTGAAGTTCTCCAAGAATTTTTTTCTGCCAATTCCACCCATCAGTCACCCCTCGTCAACAATTACAAGATAAAAAAAATTAGTTTTTTGATAGTTTAGATGTTTCAAGACTTGGGAGATTTCATCACAGAACATCTCTGCAAAGAAAATTACCAGGGCCTCCCTAAACACAGAAGTTTAAGGAGAAAAATCTAATTATAATTAGCCTATAATTAGGCTTTTTAATGAGATGAAACAGTGCTGGTTAAGGTAAATTATTTAGATTTTATACTGATGGATGCAACTTTACCTCAAAGTCCTTAACTAATGCCACCACAGAAATATTAATATACTAACCAAAATACCATCTCTATAATCCATCTACTCTGTATTTTCACAAAGTCCATGTAAAAAACACATAACTAGAGCTGAAAAAAATTAATCAAAACTTTCTAACCTATCTATGTATGACAACTATCTTTCCCTTAAACCAAATTATATGACTTTAAATACACATTAAAAACACATAAAAGGTGGAAGTGATAATTTACCCCTCTGTAGTAAACTGAGTAACTCAAATGTCTGAGAATAATTACCAGTCCTGACCACCTAAAAAGTTACAGCCTTATGCAGTTCCCAACCTAAGCAGCAATGGGCAGTGCACCTCATGTTTAAGCAGTGCTGATTTCCCCTGAGCACAAGTACAGAAGACGCTCTCTTTCCTAAACTGAGAGTACTGGCAAATCCCTTGCCTCATACCCTTACAATCCAGGCAAGAAATCAGTAACCGTTTCCTGGAGCAGCACTACCAGAATACACAGAGTGCACATAAAGGCTCATTTCCACAGGATGTGCACAACTCTTCAGGGAATTAACTTGAAACAACCAACTAGATTCGTATAGTCAAGCTTCCACCAGAGCACTGACCAAGGAAGAAGAGTCACCAGACTCAGATAAAAATAAATCAGTTAAAACACCAACTATCTGCACGACAGTCCTGAGTCAAGCAAGACCCTCCAGTTGAACCAGCACACAGCGCTAATTCAGTTGTAACTTCAAGTCAGCTGGAATGTAAAAGCAATCTACAGCACTAAGTCCAAACCAAAACTCTTAACTCCCATTTGCTCCCAGTAGAAAATTCATGGTGCTGTGAGTCCAGGCTGCCTCCAGTTACAAAGGATTACTCCAAAACTAATTAATTTCCCATCTCAACAGGGTCTTTCAGGCAAAATGCAAAGACTTCCAAAATAATATTACTGCTTTCAGACAGTAATATTGTGTTAATTCTGATTTCTGTAGATCTTAGTGTTACTTACTAATACAAATCATCTAAGGTAATAGCGATAGATGACCAAAAGGTTCTCTTTTATTGTGTTCTATTACCACAGCATGCATCTTCTACATGTAAATTGCATTTACTGAGAATGCAACATAATCATTCTCCTTCTCTCTCCCTCTGATTACATCATGTGTGTACATGTTTTGCAATCATGAGCAAAAGCAATTGTTGTCACACTTTCCTTCAGACTTACATGCCAACAACTTTAACCTGTGGTCCTGGGAACCACCCTTGCCCACACGAAATCCACAGGAATGGATGGAAGCGAAGTTGATGCACCTATGCCCTAGCACAACCTACACAGGAGAAATTTCAGTAACAATGCACATATCAATAGTTTCTCAGAGTCCACACAGTGTGAAAACTACTGTCCTGAACTTTCACAGAGCCAACAATCTGAGCTTTCCTACCTGGCTTCCCTGTCTATGGGGTTTTTTTTGTTTGTTTAGTTCCTTTTTGGTTTTTTACTTAAACTTTATTTTGTTTTTAATTGGGGGAGGAAAGAGAGTAAAACATTAAGATTTTACTAAATAAAACAATGTTTTGCTAAACTGTTGCTTTCTGCTACTGCTCTGAGCATTCATGTCTACACACTAGTTGGGCTATTTGCAAAAATAGCGATAGAAACTGACATTTTAATGGTATCCTCTAAATATCCTTCAAATAGTGAAGGACAGGGTGCATGTAGGTGTATATATATCCATGTAGCAGCACATAAATCTGGAGAATATGTGCAGCATATATACAGATCACATAATACACCTATCAAAGTAACCAATATTTATTCATTGCTGTCCATTTCTAAGGAGGTAACATCTTTAAATCAGACCTAAAAGCAGAATGCATGAATAAATGACTAATCTTACCCAGAGGAATTTTTCTCTGTTTCCCCTGACAGGCTCCACAACTGTATAAATTTTGCTAACAGAGCAGGCTGGATATCCAACTTCCCAGTGTTACACCACTGTAGCTGCAGTATGAACTATGCAGGCTTAGAAACAACTCTGAGTCCAAATTCAGACCTTTGCTATTGTTTGTTGCTTTCTATGATAACAAGTAAGTTAGCAGTTTACTTCTAATTTGTGCTGAGACAGAAAGAGGAGTAGAGAAAATAAGACACAGTAGGCACACTCAAATATATAAATTAGGACCTATTAATGACCAACTCCTGCAAATCATACAGAAGGAACAACCTGTCCTAAAAAATCTGATGTCCCATGTATTTTGTAGTTTGTGCCCAAACTTTCCCACTGACCTAATATTCTCTATATACCTCTCACAGCAGTTATCTTCCTCCTCATCTTCCTCATCACAATATTAACTGCTTCTAGCCTCACTCATAAGGCCCTCAGTAACCTCCTATGCTGTCCACAGCAACCTACACAGTCAGCAATCACACATTCATCTAACTTCCTTCTCAAGTGCCCTGTTAGACAGACAAAAACCCCAAAAAAACCACCTGTTATGTCCTGGTTTGAAGAGACACACATGACAGATAATGGGTAAAATCATTATGCTTCCTCTCCCAGCTTCTCCCAGGACACTGCTCAGAGATGCCCCCATCCCGTTTTGGATTTTCATTAAGCTTTAGGTTGCTCAATGGTACTAAGTTCCTAACCCTATCAAATTTCTGTTTTATTACATTTACTGGTTGTATGACGCAGACCTAGTTATTACCAGACCAACTTGTTAAGAAACACTGCTACTACAACCAACTACAAGGTAGGACTCCTCCTCCAGCTTTGATTTTGAAACAGTGCCAATACAGAGTAAGAGTAAGCACAGTGAATTAACAAGTTCATTAGCACAGAATCACAGAACAGTTTGGGTTAGGAGGGACATGAGAGATCATTCAGTTCCAACCCCACTGCCATGGGCAGGGATGCCTTCTACCACATCAGGTTGCTCAGGGCCCCATCCAACCTGGCCTTTAACACTTCCAGGGATGGGGCATCCACAGCTTCTCTGGGCAACTTGTTTTGGCCTACTTATGAACATTGTGAGACAAATTCAGGACTTTAAATTTGAAGACTTCTGTCATGTTTGGAATGACAGTTAAACTTCATGAACTGGTCCTGAGTTTGGGATCTAGAACAAAGAAACAAAAACCCCTGCCTCCTCCATGGTACCCAAGTTATGCGTAACAGCTTTGAGTATCAATTTTTCAGTACACAGGTGATGCATTACACAGACTCCAGTCTGTGAAAAGGAAGCCACTCTTTCAAGTATAAACCCAGACTCCTTCTGCCAGTTTAGCTAAGTTTCTACCATACAGAAAAGCTGGTTTCCACTGGAGGTAGGCTACCTTCCTTATACTATCTGGTCCAGCAGTGCTGCTCTTGTGCATTCTGATGATGGAAAGCGATGTCTCTTCCTCAAATGTTTATGCCAGGCCCTTAAAATATGGAAGACTTGCCCTTACCTCTTCTCTCTCTTCACTCCTTTTCTTCTCTCAGGGGAAGTTAGACAAAATATGGGACTAGGAAGAGAAAGAGAATGAGTGATAGAAGGGAAATAAAGGTAAAAGCAGTTACAGAAAGAGTAAGAATTAGTCTATTGAACAGAAATCAAAGAAGCAGTAAGTAGAGATATACAAATGCCATGCTTAGAGATTTTAGACACTGTATTTACAGAACTCAATGCCCAAGATTGGCAATTGCCTGCCAATTGCTTGATGTCTTTAAGTTTACTAAAGACCTGCGGTACTTTGTAAAATAAACCATACACACAAAGACCTTTCAACTCAAAAATCAGTTATTTGAGCTGGAGACTCAAGGAATTGTAAAATCCAAAACAAGTACCACACTTGGAAAGCGAAAAAAAAAAAATACTTTTTGATACCAATATTGCTTATTGCTTAGAGAAGTATATATTAGCTCCCTAACATTAGCATGCTATAGTATATCACTGAGAAATGTAATATTCCTTTAAAGAACAATTCAAAAAGTTAAGAAAGCAAGTAGTTTCCCAGTAAAAAGACCTTGGTTTCAAGTCATTCTTTATGTCAGCTATTTTACTCCAAACTTTTATTCCTCCCTCTACCACAAAACGATAAAAAGCTGTTGATTAAACTCAGACAAAACGCCTTTGACTTAGCAATTACTCATCAAGAAAACATTTACAGCTGTTACCTTAAGCTATTAATCTTGACAAATATCTGAATATATAAAACATTTATGCAAGCATATTCACTCCACATTCTGTAAGAATGCAAGTCATGCAACCCTACAACTGTAAGGGCTAAGTAGACTTATTTTTTATTAAATATAACAGTATACCTCATGGTGATTCAATCACTGGAAGCATTCAGTCACCAATATTCCCTCAAGAAGTAAGGTTTTTGAGGTGGAAAAACATGTGGCTAAAAATACATATTTGTATTACCTTCAACAATCTAAATATTTTGCCAGCTTCACGATATCAAATAAACTAATTAATTTGTCTATGCTGCTTAGTAAGATGTGGGAGTCTACTGTAATTATTAGCTACCTACTACAGAAGAAGTAAATTTTTTATTTCAAGTCTGACATTTTAGCTGAGCATGTTTCTGTTTTGACATGCTTTCATCTATGTAGATTCCAAAAACCAGTTCCCCTGTTTTATCAGTAGCATTTGATTTACATGAACAGCTCAACAGCGCTTCTACTTTTATTTGAGGAAGCAATTTGTAGACACTCACCTAATTGCTACACTTACACCTAGGAATCTAAACACAAGCAAGTCAGAAAGTCACACTCTTTCAAGCACAGACTTTTTCTTTCAAGCAGTTAGATGAACACTTTTGTGTTATTTTAACCAGAGTTCAACCTGGATTGTATTTTTTGATAACAACTTGGCAGTATTTCAATGTTCTTCACAAAAATTTGGGGAGGAAACTGGCAAGAAGTAGTGAGAGAACAGATTGGGGGAACCAGAACATGTTCAAGGACAGACCGAAAATACAGAAGTGTAAGATCAAAAGATCTTTCCTGTTTTCAAGAAAACAAAACCAAATTTATTTCCAATTGCAAATACCTTGCAAAACTGTATTATTTGAGTCAAGTAATTTAGATACCATGCATTTTAATTTTATAGTTTTGTGTTGCCAATGGAGATTACAGTATGTGGTTTTAATTGTAGTAACAGAGATATGAAATACAAAATCTTTGAATAAGCACAAAGAAATTCTGTCCAGCAATGGAAGCTCAATGCACAGCTTTTAATTTTCAATACTACTGCCACGCAGAAGGGGACAAAAAGATGCAGCATTTGGCTTTTGTCTTTTAGCACAGCAGATGTGACAGGAAAGTAAGACAGTAGAGAACATTAAAAAAAAACCATCATCACAGTCATTCATAAAAATCCTGCATAATGATATTACACATTCACATCAAGCATTCCTACCCAAAGCAAAAGAGGAAAAAAAAAGAAAATAATTAGCTGAATTACTTGGTAAAGCATCTGAGAGAGGAACCATACCCTTATAACCAGTAAAATAACTACTGTATTGTTTATCAATTGTATATAATGTATTCACATTTCTTTCACTGTTCTAGAATGACTGGAAACCAAACGAGAGGTGTAATCTCTCTGTATCTTCCTCAAAAGCTATAGATAAGTTGTAACTCTTAAGTCTTCAGTTTAACACACGCAACTAAAAACATTCCTTACTGCAAAAGTTTCTTTAAAACAACAGTTAAACCAGGATTAACTGTCTAGACAAGGAATATCATCTGTCCTGTGATATGGTTTAAAATAAACCTTATTATAGCCATTCTAATTAGGAGTTAGGTCCCTTTGTCTACTCATGGTAAGCCAAGAGCAGCACAGACTGTTAAAAAGTATCTTTAGCCCTTCTCAAATTAGTAGAGTTAAAGGGTGATGAACACCAGACCAATTTTAATAACTGCACAGGGTAAAAGATGCAAACCTACCATCCTGTACACCATTTGAAATTCTCAACTGGTAAATACAGGCTGTTTCAGCAGTTTCTATGACTGATACATAACACTGACCCACACAACATCCTGGCCTTTCTGAACTGGAGAGACATGAATGTGGCAGATGGACCCTTTGGTGGACAAGGAACAGGTCGGATGGCTGCACTCTTAAGAGCTGTGAGCTGTCAACAGCTCCATGTCCGAGTGGGGACTTGTGATGAGTGGCATCCTGGTGTTCCTCAGAAATTGATAGAGACAGTTACTCTGTTGGCAATACAGACTGAGCACACCCTCAGCAAGTTTGCTGACCACATGAAGCTCTTTGGTGTGGTCAACATGTGAGAGGGAAGAGATGTCATCGAGAGGGACCTTGACAGGTTGGAGAGGTGGGCCTGTGTGAACCTCATGAAGTTCAACACAGTCAAGTGCAAGGTGCTGCACCAGTGTCAGGGCAGCCTCAAACACCAATACAGGTCGGGCAGCGAATGGATCGACTGCAGTTTTAAGGACAAAGACTTAGGGGATGTTGGTTGAAGAGAAGCATCCCATGACCCAGCAATGTGCACCTGCAGCCTAGAAAGCCAAGTGTCCCAGGCTGCATCAAAAGCAGTGTGGCAGCGGGCCCAGGGAGGTGATTCTGCCCCTTTACTCCACTGGAGCACTGTATTCAGCTCTGGAGTCGGCAACACAAGAAAGATGTGCACCTCTTAGAGCAGATCCAGAGGAGGCCGCAAAGATGATCCAGAGGCCTAGGCATCAATCCTATTAAGAAAGGCTGAGAGAGAAGGGTTTGTTCAGCCTTCTCTGAGAAGGAGAAGGCTCTGGGAACACCTCAGTGAAGCCTCTGAATACCTAAAGGAGGCTTACGAAAGAAGACGGAGCGTGATTTTCACATGGGTAGACAGTGATCAATAGGACAAGGGTACTGAGACACTCAAACAGGTTGCCCAGAGAAACTGTGGATTTTGTGGATTCCTGGAAGTGTTCAAGGCCAGGTTGAGTGGGGCTTTGAGAAACCTGATCTAGTAGGAGGTGTCCCTGCCCATGGGCAGGGGGGCTGGAATGAGATGACTTTGAAGGTCCTTTGCAACTCACACCATTCTATGATAAGGGGACCAACAACAGACTATAGATCTTCCTTCTTAAGTACAATAATGTCATTAAAATCTAGTTTTATCATCTCGTCTTTGAACGTGATGGCAATTTATTTTTCTGATGAAGATGTAAAAGTAAATGATTACCTAGATTATGATGCCATAAAATACAAAAAACACAACTGCAAATGGAGAATAAAATAAAAGAACTTTCCTTAACCTAAGCCTGCAGTATGAAATTTTAATATCTACGCTACTGAAAGTGTTAACCTAAAACTAAATTCTAAAACTAGGAACGATGTTATTTTGGCAAGTGCCTGATTTGCAGAACTGCTGGGCCCTTCCAAGTCTCACCTAGATTTTACAACACTGCATCACCATCACAGCAGTGTATGAGCTATCCCATGAAATGAGATAGCACTCTTGCAATATAATATGCAAAACTAACACATTCCACTTGCACAGGATGCAATCTGTGTGCTACTACAATATATTCTTCACTTGTACTTTTGAAACACATAACTTGAATGGACACTGTGATGAACCATCGTTATTATCAATATTTTAATTTTTAAAAATAAGCAAACACTTAAGTTGGGCATGTTAAAAAAAACACTTTGTGCAATAAAACTGTCTTCAAAGACTTACAGATAATCTTAATTATTAAAATTTTCTAACCACCAGCAGAGCTTAAAATCTTGCCTGTTTCGTTAATACATTAATATCTACAAAAGGAAATAAAAATAATCTCAATATCTCCTAGTTCGTATATGAAATCTTGAAAAGGCTCCTTTTAAGTAAGTTGTTTATTATGCCTTAAAGGTAACAACAGTTTTTCTTTGAACACAACTGCAGAAGATTTTTTCTGTAGCATGAAGGTCATGAGCAGAATTCTGGATCTTCAAAGACATTAGGTTAACTTTTGTGGCACAATTCTTTGGTTACTAAGAAAATGTGAACACTGAAGTAGATATAAATATCCACCTTGCACCATTCAAAAGCCCACTAATATTTTAAACAATCCAGAATTTGGAAGACTTAAAAAGGTGGTTTTTTCTTAATCCACGTTCTACATCTGCTAAAACTTTTTTTTTTTTTTTTTTTACAGAGAGATCTTAAGTTTCATTCTTAACAATAAAATCAAAACTAGTATTTGCACAGTGGAAACATTTAAACACTGTACCTGTTCAAAAAACTGTCCAACAAAATTTGCTTTTGAGATTCACAAATGGTCATTTGTATGTAAGTCACAAGGCCAATAACATAGATGCACTTCTTTAGGATCACTCAAAAAATCTAAATTCGACTCTATTTTATATTTTCACTCATCTTCATCCCTCCCATCAGATTTTGTTAAAATGTCACATGACAACAGCAAAATACTTTCATTAAATCTTCATTTACATTAATCTAGTTAGAACAATACTAAGATTCCACAATTACATACACCACTCCTTAAATCAGTCCCACAAATAGTCCTTACTAAAATTAGTATTAGCATGCATGCAAAATTAAGACTGTCCTTAAATCAAACTGAGATGAGAACTGGAGAAACACTACAGCCTTAAGTGACACACTGATTTCTGCATTTCTGTTGCTCTCCAATAGAATACTAACAGTGGTGTGTGCTGAAACTGCCCAAGAAGAAATTAGGAGCTGCATTACCTCAAAGTAACCTGAAGAGGTTACTTAGTTCTAAGAGAAACTTTCCCCAGATTTAGTCTAAAGAGTCAGTATTATTTCCCCTCTGGAATTTCCCAGATGGCAAAAAAAGCTCACCCAAGAAGCTAAGTGACAGTTAAGCAAACTTTTCCTTCAGATATGAAAAGCTTCAAGATACATAAATGGTTTCATAACTCCAGTCCATATTATTGCATTTGTAACAAAATGTTTGTGAAACAGAAATGTGTCTTAAAAAAAAAAAAAAAAAAAAAAGACATTTAGATTTCAAACCTTCCCTCTTTCAAGAAGTTTACATTAGTTTTACAGGCAGGGTATGTCATTATTTATGAATATACACATACAAACATCAGTGGAGTACAAAATAAAGTAGAATTTGTTTTGTAGTGTTGTCTCCTTAAAACAAATCACAGATCTGTTTTTACAAATGGAGAAACTGAGTCACGAAGGCAAACTGACTCATTAAAACTCACACAGGAAAACTCTGAAGATCTCTACAAATTCCCAAGAGGTTTCTAGTGCATAAAATTTGGCAATCTATAAAATAAGCTGTAAAATTTGAAAATTAGTATTTTTGGGTTTATTTCATTACTCCCCCCCAAGACTTTCTGTAAAGTGTACAAAATTATTTTCTCCTAATTGTGAATCAGATGTCTGCTTGAGAATACGACTGAGGCCATGAAGAGTTGCAGAGCTGTATAGCCCTCTAGGTCATAATATCAGAAAAAAATCAAGAACAGGAGTTTTCAACCTAGGGAGAGGAAAGAAAAAGGCAACAGGTTTCCATAAAGGCCCATACACTCTTTAGACTTTTATATATGTACTTTTAAATAAACAGAGTAAGACATGGTTTATGAAAAAAAACATATATTTTTAAATAAAGATGATAGGAGCATGCATTACTGGAGAATTAACAAAATCCCTTAGACTTTGGCCTCGAAACACACTAAAGGCATGCATTAATAACACCCTAGAAGTCTAATTATCTTACTGTTCAACTTTAGGTACACTTTAAACCACACATCAGTGCTTCTAAACGGTATCTAAATTAAAATTCTTCAGAGATTGAAGACAGTTTTTCCATTTCAATGTCTCACTTTTGATTGCTTAAATCCAGAAGGTTCTAAAGCTATATTGGAATAGGAATTCATATCTCATTAAATTAAGGATGAGATTAAAGATAGGCATTAAAAAAAAGTGAAAATTTTTTTATTGTTTCTTAAAACATACAGTTGCAGCCTCCATAGCATATATCAGAGTACACTACACCAACTACCAAATAATAAATCCTTGTGACCTCCCTTCCCCCCACTCAAACATATTTATAGTGGTGATACTAAAAGGTTCGTATTTCATTTAGGAAAAAAATCAGATCTTACGAACCGCACCTTCCCTCAACATTTGGATGTGTATTACCACATACACAATCTATACAGCAATACACAAAATAAACTGAAGAAAAACGTAATGCCAAGATCACACAGTAAATTCCGTGTCTTAATAAAGTAACAGGTTATAATCTCGCAAGCATTATTCCCTTAAGTATTAAGTTCATTTTGTATTCTCACACTATGAATATATGGAATTACTACACTGATGTCCAACGAAGGTGTTTCCTGGAAGGTGAACATGACGTTCACAAATGTGCTTCCACAAAGAATTTAGCTGACTGTCTAGGTGATCTTAATCCACTACTTGTGTTGATAAATATTACTGATTTTGTGTCATTAATAGGACGGACAGATGTACAGTGTCTATCAAAAACGCAGGAGCTTTTCCAAATTATTAAACCGACATACATATTACCTTACAGCAACAAATACACACCCCTCGAAGGAGCTGCTTGAGTCTGCTGCCTCTTTCCACCCCCCTTCTCCCAGAACAGAGTGGTCTCGTTCACTTGCCTTTCACACACATAACCAATAAAATTAATCAGCTGGAACACAGCATTTTTAAATCGTAGTAAAGTCAAGAGATGTTTTGTACGTTATTTGAAGGGAACAACCTTTTCATTTAAACATAGTAAGACTCTAATATGCTGCAGACAAACGCACTGCATGGGGTGTGGAGGACCCGAGCTGATTAGATTACCACAACATCAGCCTGAGGCCGCCATTTTTAGAATCTCTAAAGGACAAAAGAGGGAAATTAAAAAATTTGCTCCACATTTTTTTAAAAGTAACTTTAAAAGTATAGTGATGATAATCAATTAATCATGCATTGTAACTGCACCCATGGATATCTCTCTCTTTTCACCCATCTGAGCCCTGAGTAACAAAAACGCTTCATTATTATTCCTTTAAGGTACTGTAAATAAACAGATTAAAACATTCCTAAATCTAAATGCAGCACTGAACTTCTGCTTTTGACGACACGTAGCATGTAGCATTTCAGGGGACCTCAGGGCTTTCAAACACCGCACATTCCCTAATGGCCGAGTATGGGGGAATACAGGACCTTTATAATCAGGCTATATTATGTTTCTCTACCCTATTTAGTACTACACAGTGAACCGTTTGTTTCTCCTCCCCTATGTCTGCAGCAATAAGGTCTAACCCACCAACACTTATCGCTTCAGGAGAGAGAGACTGATATATGCCACCCAGGGAACACGAACGCTGGCTGCAGAAACTAAAGCAAGAAAGGGATGCACCAGTGTAACTACTTACAGCCTGGAGAAAGGGGGTGGGGAGAATGATCCCCTTTTAAATTGGCACAGAAACTCCTGGGGACTGCTCTCCGTTTGTCCAGGTTACACCACGAAGCGGAGATATTAACAGGGAGGGAGGCAGGGAGGCGGGGGTGTGGAAGGCAGAGAGATTAGGCCTATAACGAGCCATTTTAGTACCACAAAGCAAAAATATACAGGATGGAGGAAAAGAATAGGCTTCCCCAAGCTTCGTAAAACTCAATACGCAGTCCCAATAAGGCACAAACCCGTTCTGAAATCCGCCAGCCCAAGGAAGCCTATGCTGTCACATAATAGCTCCTTTTGGCTCATTTTCCAAGCATAATGCATAAATCTGGCGTAACTGCCAAAAAATTCTCCTCAGCTCCTCCAGTTACAGTAACCCGCCATATTCACAAGATATAGCGACAGCCTGCCATTTTTTAACCAAACCCCACAAAAGGAAAAGCAAATTCAAGGTAACTTAAACAGAAATGAAACACATTTCATGAGGGGAAGGAGTTAGACTCGCACCTAGGGTAATGAGACGTTCCCGTCGCATTTCATTCCCCTTCTGCCACCCCCCCCTCCCCCAAAGCACCCACAGCAGAATATGCCGATAAAAACCAAAGACTCACCTGTAATGGTCACAGGCCAGGCAGCAGGACCCCTCAGCTGAGCCCTTTCTCTATCCCAACCAAAACAATGCAACAGCCCCACTGCGGATATCCCTACCCTAGTCAGGACTCAGCCCTCAGGAGGCTCTAGTAAAAGAAAGAAAAGGGAAAGAGGAGACCCCCCCCTCCCCCCAAACCTAGCTCAGTGCGCAGAACCCTAAAGGGACCAGCTCAGAGGCGCCCTTGCCCTGGGACCTGTGTACAAACCCCGCCGCTGCCGCCGCTGCTCCCGTGCCTCCCTCCCTCCAGCCTCCTACGCTCCCTTCTATGTCACTGCCTCTCTCTGGGAAAATGGCGTCCGCTCTCCCCTCCCTCCCCCTGCACGGGGCTCACCCGCCCCGCCTGACAGGGGCAGGGTTACCAAGGCGAAGCCAAACAGCCGCCATTTTGCTTACGGGCCGGGAGCGCAGCCCGCGCCCGCCGAGCCCTCAGTGTCCATTTTGCAACACGGCTGAACGGCTCGGGGGGTCTGGGCGCGGCCGCGGCACCAGACTGCGGCAGGGGCTGGGCAGGGGGGCCGTGAGGAGGGAAGTAGGGCAGCGGAGGAGGGGTGGCTGCAGCGGGGGCTGGCGCCGGGGGCGATCCGCAGCCCCGGCGGCGCAGCCCGCGCGGGAGGGGCGGGGGCTCCGTCCCGGCCTGTTGTGGGGCCGAGCGCGGGCGGGAGCGGGGATGTCTGAGTCAGAGCTGCATCCTCCGATGAACAAACGCCTAAACTCCCTCCTCGGCCGCTCTCCCCCACCCCGACCTCCGGCTTCTTCCTCACGACCTCACGTCGATGCTCTCGGCATGCGTGTTCTTTCTGAACCTTAAACTGAGCACATTTTCGCCACAAGCTGCGCGAAAAGCCGGACGGACCTGCCGGATCCCACACAGGCAGAGGAACTTACTGAGGGGCAGGGAAGAGGGGGGCGAGCAAGAAGCGGGTGCTTTGGCCGAGACCTGCTCAGGAGGTTTTGACTGAATCTATCAGTAAGACACTCGAGGCTGAGAATCTTCCCCGAAGCGTTTAGGACTCATGTATAAGGCAAGTGGGAGAGAGCTTCTTTCCTTAAAGCGAGTGGGACAGCACGCGATTTCTGTTCTGCGGGGAACGAGACGAACAGCCAACGAGCCTCATTTGCCCTTTAGGGAACGGCGCTCAGGGAGCAGGAACAGCATGCTTCCCTCCAGACCAGCGGCGCTGGCAAAGCCAGGAGCTCGCTCGCCGTTTCAGGGCAGACGCAGCCTCTGCCATTTGTACCGAGCCCTTCTTCCTGCCACCATATCGCCTCCCAGCTCCCCGCGCTGCCCGCACGCCGCCCCGTCTCCCCTGCCCGACTTCAGCCCCTCCAGCGATACGGCTGATTGAGGGAGGGGAGGCGGCGGCTGGGGTTTCATTCGACGCCCACCAGGGGCTGAGCGAGCCTCCTTCAGTGCGCAAACTCGGGGCACCAGATAAAAGCTGGGCTGGCAGCTCTTACCCTGCCTCGATGGAGCCGCAACATTCGGGTGACTGGAGAAGCAGTTAGCAGCAGCGCCATAGACTAGCGTCCCCCCACACCTTGAGCACAGAGAGTTTGGGGCTCTAAACAGCTGCTGCTGCGGCAGGAGGGAGCCGAGGTGAAGGGATCTGCTAGCTGGTTGGACGCAGAGGAGGCGGCTGTAATGGGGCATTAAGTCTAAGGGGGGGGGGAGGCGATTAAACGTCTTGTGATCATGGCGGAGTCTATGGGTATTTTTTCCTGTCTAACTCTTCTGTGCGTGTGTCTCTTGTTTCTTTCTCTCTCTTTCTCCTTAGGGCGCTTGGCTGGGGCTGCTCGCTCGGGTTCTGCCTGTTGTTGCGCGAAATGGCGGCTGGCGTCTTGGTGGGTTTGGTTGTCGGTTTTTTGTGTAGGGTTGCCTTTTTTTTTTTTTTTTTTTTCCCTTCCCCTCCTATTCCCCTCCCCGCACTTGTGCCTTGGCTGCGGCTCCGCAGCGAACCGCGGCGGAGCCCGAGTCAGGAGGGGGGCGGGAGCGGCGCGGCAGCCAATGGCCGGGCCGGCTGGGGTGGCCCGGCGCGCCCTGATTGGCTGGCGCTGACATCATCCTGCAGCAGGGGCAGCCGCAGCTGGGCAGGGTCGGGAGCTGCCGGGGGAGGCAAAGAGAGAAAACGGGCGCCATGATCCCAGCGCCAGGGAGGAACTCCGCGGGCAGGGCGTCCCCGAAGAGCTGGTGGAAAAGGAAAGGAGGACCAGGCTTGGGCTTCTTCCCGAACAGTGCCGGGGCTGTGCGGAGAGGAGCGGGGGAAGAGCGAGAGGGGAGTAACTCGCGCCTGCCTTTGTAACTGCGTCAGTACAAGATGGCGCAGGGTGTCCCTGGAGAGGGAAGGGAGTTGCACGTCCGCCGGAGGTCATGTGACCGCGTTGCATTCCTGTGGGGTTTGGCTGCGGACCAAGCTGGCTGAGGCGGCGGCGGCTGCCCGGGACAGCCCGGGCTTCCCCCCTCCTCCCGCACCCCGCCGGCGGGCCCGCGCTGCTTCCCCTCCCCCATCAGCCTTGTGCACGAGGGTGTAGCTGCTGCCGAGGAAGGTTCTCGCTTCTCTCCTTATTCTCCACCCACCTCCAGGGTGTAGCTGCTCTCGGGGGAAGCTTTTCATTCCGCCCCCTCTCTGCGCAGGGCTTTACCCACCGCCAGGGAAAGTTCCCCCCGGGCGCCTGCTGGCTCCGCCCGAGCGTGGGAGCCGGGTGCGCTCACGGTGGTGCCGCTCGCCCGGTGCGGGGTCACTCCGCTGCCCCTCAGGCTCCCGGGGTCACCGAGTGGTTCCTACCGAAACAGTCCGTTTAAGCGATGTTCAAATGACCTCATTAAAGCCGCTGAGGAAAACGCACAGGCTATGCGGAGTTGTTCTTCTGACGAGGAGGTCGTGGCTGCTCCGTTGTTGCTCTGCCGGGGGTACTGGGCAGGGGGGCCAAGGGAGAATCTGCGAGGTGTTCATGACTTTATTCTATTTGAACAGGAAAAGTGGATCGCTGTTCTTTTATTTGTGTGTTGTTGGATCCCATTGTACGGAGTCGAGCAGCTTTTCTTTGGGGTGATGTGTGTATTCCAAAGTCAGGCCACAGTGGCCTGTTTCTTTAACATAGGAATTAACGTATATACTTAGTGCAGATGAAAACTGTGGTTTGCGAATATTGTGAGGACTCCCCATGCTGTATTTTCTGAGGTTCATAGGAAAATGAACTCGTTACACAGGTCTGGGTAGGCTTGCAAGATTGGCAGATATATTTTCTTGGTCTTCTCTTATTTAAATATTTTAATGCAGGGGAAGTGGAAAAATGTATGTTTTCCAATCCTAATGCTTTTCGTTAAGGAATGCAACTCCTCTTACTGTTTGGGTGAAGTTCTTGAGCTTTCAAAGCAGTGCAGTGCCAGCTCCCATGTTTTGTTCTTGTATGCCACGGTGTAAATTTAGCCACTGCATCTGACCCAATGAACAAATTAACAGTTAAAATTGCTGATGCTTTAAGGGTGGAGGTTTATTTTATTTGTAAATGTTTCACTTTTTCTGTTGTTATTTTATCCCCAGATAAGATTTTTTTTTTCTTTTTACTTCCACTCTAGTAACCTGGTAGGGTAGGGGATAAAGCTTGAATACTTCACGAATGTGGTGTTTTGAGAACTACTGGAATGAAAGTAACTGAGCGTATGACTAATATAGAAGATTCCTGTATAATAGATGGTCCTTAATATGTGTTACATAAGTAAGACGGTGAGGTGGAGTCCAGTTACATAAGAACTGGCTGGGGCCTTGGGAGCTACTCTAAGTAGTCCATATTGGTTGCATATACAGCCTGCAGGGCATCCATGTGTTGTGGGAGGAGGGGTGGAAAAACAGGATTGGAAGCATCTAATAGCCCTACATTTTTCCTTTGTAGCTTATGTAGAGGATACCAGGAAAGAAAGGGAGAAGACAGTAATTAAGAATGACACAGTGAGAAGCTTTCAAAAGTCCAGAGTCTCATTTGAGCCTACCTTTTAGGACATAAGCTCAGTTTCAGCATCTCCCCCTTTTTTTTGAGTGTCTGAAGGTGGCTGTCAACTGAGCATTGTGCCAACCTATTTCTGTGCAGACAACTATAAAGAGCAGGATTCTTGTATCTTAGAGGTTGCGAGGTGCCTTTTTGGGGGTTTTGTTTTTTTAGTTGTGTTTTTTTTTGTTTGTTTGTTTTTTGATTTGGTTTTTTTTTTAAGAGAGAGAGGGGGAAGGCAGCTTACTGGAAATGGTGTTAGGAGGAGGCAGTTAGTTTGTTGACCACTGGATTACTGATTCTTGTGTAGGCATAGTTTGACACAAGGTAAATACTCCTTCTGTAATGGAAGCTTCCAGAGAGCCTTTCAGTGTACAGTGACTCTTCTAATACAGAACAGATTTATGTGTGAATACTCTTTGCAGTTGTGTTAAAGCAAGAGCATTAATTTGAACTAAAAAATGAGGAAAACCCCCATATTTTATTAGTAATTACATTTAGGCTTCTGTGCTATAATTATGAAACAGGGAATAAGGGACTTGTTTGAATGCTTAAATTATAAAATACTCTATATAGAATACGTGGGAATGAAAAACTTTAAATTGGCACCTAGAGTTTTAATTCTTAAACTGACCTTTTAGGTAGCTCAGTTTGTATCAGATTTTGCTTGAAAACCAAGAAATGGACTACCTTGAGAGTTCTCAGTAACTGGCAGCTTATTGCAGCAGTACTTGAGCAGAGGTGTGGCTGTGCTTTCATGAAGCTATAGAAATGAAGGCAAGTTTTAATGAGCTGGTAATAATTTCTTGTTTCTAGATTGTTTTTATTAGCTGTTCTCGGGGAAGCAGTATTAGTTATCTTGAAAGAAACAGCTCCAGCAGTGTTGCAGTGCAGTCTTAAAACAACGTCTGATGTATTCCGAACTACTTCTGCCGAGGGAGATGAGTAAAAACCAAGTGCGCGTACTTCTCTGAGACGGAAATCTCAGGGGAGGGGATTTGCCCGAAGGACAGTCTGATGCAAGCTGTGTGTTAATCTGGAAGGAAAGGGGAGGGGAAAGAGCTGTAGGAGGGGGAGACTGAGTAAAAACGGGCACGTAGTTTACATTTTATGGTCTCAGCTTACCAGGGAGAGTAACAATTTCTACTGAACTTCAATTCGTTCCTTTAATGAGAATATTTCAATTGGCTGGACGTTATCCAGCAGTAAGAGTTGTGGTTCTGACTTGCCGTCGAAGCCTGTCGGTGCATGTACGTGTGGTCTGAGCCTTTGCGAAGACCTGTTATTTAAACACTGTTGTTTACCTTTAGCCTACAAAGGGACTGACAGGAGTTCAAGGGTATTTAGGGGAGAAAGGAGAGGGATACTAACAGTGTAATAGATCCAAGTATGCATTAATGTCATAGCTGAAACAGTTGAAGTGGTGCCCATGCTGAAAGAAGATCCTGCACCTTTTCTCAGCTGTTCATTCTTCTGTAAGTGGTCAGGGGAAGTAGGAGTGAAGAATGGATCTAACATAAGCCTGATTGTAATAGATGGCTTTCTAATGTGACTGTTCATTGTGTGGCTTCACAAATGCTCCTGTTTGAACAGGAGTAGAAAGAAGCAGCTGCTGGGAAAATGGAGATGTGCAGGTTTTAATTGTTGGTGAAATTAGGTATACTTTTTCTCAGCAAAGATACAATTATTAGGGGATTTTGACAGGCAGCTCTTCAAGGCTTTTGGCTGGTGTAACTAGAATCACTGCTCAAGGAGTCAAGCACAATTCTAAACTTTTAATGTATGTAGGGTACTGGTAGATTAACTTGCAATTGTAAGTGGCAAGATCACTTTAGACTGACTGAAATTGTAGCCTACAAAAGTTAAGTAAAATGTTACTTCTTTTGAACTGTAGCCTAGTTAAGTTCAGTTTTTGTTGGAATAGGCTAAAACTTGAAATAGGTTTGCTTCTTCCAGAAGTGGCTGGTAGTCTAATAGCTGGGGTATTCAATGAAGAATTATTCCTACAGAATGAGTTCTGAGCTACTTATAAAATGTGATACCTGTGGGTCACGGTGGTCACTAGTCAAATGAATTTGCATTACCAGTTTATTCACCTGGGTATGGAAAGACTGCTCACCACTCAAACAGCAGCACAACAGGAACTTCCTTTGCACACCACTTCAGGCTTTGTTATGATGAGTCCTTCTGAAAAAGTTGTGACTGGTAAGGTTTTTCTTTAGGAGGAAAACAGGTTATTGGCTGGTCCTACAGTTCTTAACAGTTGAGTTCCTCACTTAAAGGAGCAACTTTAAAGCTGTTGTGTGGCCTCCTAATCCTGGGATTAGTGGGAATTTGTACCAGGTTCAGCTCACTGCTATGACCTTTGGGTAGTGAGGTGGGGTAGTGGTTTGTTTTCTCCTTCTGGCATGACCTTGTTATTTGAAGTACTCATTCTGATGAAGTTCTAGTTGCTTTGGAGAGCAGTACTAAACTCCTTGTAGTTACTTTCATAAGTGAGGTAGTGCTCAGACTGATTATAATGCAGCACTAGCCCTAAAGCCCTGTCAGTAACAGTTTGATGAAGATGCTGTAAATAGCCAGTGGTTCCCAAGTAATACAAGTTTTTTGAGGATCTTCAGGAATAAAATGGGGCAAAACAGTACCAGCTTTGGAGACTTGGACTGTGCCAGAGTTCAGAAGTTACTGAATTGTGGGCTCCAGCACCCCAGAAGTGCAGCTGCAGGTGCTCTTGTCACAACAGGCGTTATGTGTTCCTTGTAAGCTTAGAAACCAAGCAAATCTTAGCTGGTATATTTGTGTGCTTATTACGTGTTGTACAAAAGAGATCCCTTATCTCTGCTGAAAATTCTTGTGACTGCTCTGTCTGCAAGCTTGTTAATATGGCATGGCCATGCAGTGGATATTACTCAAAAGTAGAAATGCAGTTGATTGCAGCAGTATATTACGTCTCTTTAAAAGTTTAGCTTTTGAGGGCTGCTGTAGTTCTACTCAGTGTGGTCTGTTAGGACTCACTGAGTTTTAGAAGTACTCAACAGGATAGAGAGCTGGGGTTTTTGAACATGGAGAAGAGAAGGCTCTTGAGGAGACCTCATTGCAGCCTTCCTGTATTTAAAGGCGGCTTACAAAAAAGAGTGACTTCTTTACATGGGCAGATAGGGATAGGACAAAGGGAAATGCATTTAAACTAAAAGATGAGATACTTAGATTGGATGCTAGGAAGGGATTATTAGAGGGTAGTGAGGCACTGGAACAGGTTGTCTGAAGAAGTTGTGGATACCCCATCCCTGAAAGTGCTCAAAGGCAGGTTGGATGGGGACCTGAACAAGCTTTTCTAGTGGCAGATGTCCCTGCCCATGGCAGGGGGCTAGGAACTAGATGATTTTGAAGGTCCCTTCCAACCCAAACCATTCTGTCATGTCTGACAGCAGAATGGTGCACTCAGAATGGGTAGCTTTCTGACATTGAGTACCACTGACTATAATAATGGATTTGTTCCCAGCAGACTTCAGTAGACTGGCAACTAATGAAGTTTTGTATTGGTGGAGTTCAGTTCTTAGTATCTTATCTAAGGAAAGCAGTATTTGTCTTTCATCCAGTTTGTTGTCATGTGTGTGGATCTTTGATAGCTGCTTGACCCAGTCTCAGTGCAACTGCTGTAGATGAACCAAATACAAGTCCAAAACTACCCTGTGTGGCAGATATGGGGTGTCAGAACTAATAGGGGGGGCACAAGAAGAACATAGACTGAAGAGCTAACTGGGAAACAAGCATTAACATCCAATTCTTGTGCTAAACTCCCTCTTCCCATGTTCCTGCCTTTAATTAGCAGCTTAGAGGACTGACATGAGATTCCCCAAATTTTAGTGAAATAAGGCAAAAAAAATCAGATATGTAGAACTGTGCCTCTTTATTAGTGCAGATAAAGCAATCCCTCAAAGAGACTGTGAGACTATAGCTGGTCATGATATTGAGACAGGAGTTGAATCTGTAGCCTAAGAGATGTTTTACCAGCTTTATTCTGGGGTAAGCGCTCAACTGTGCTGCTCTTGGTTTTGCTGCTTTGTTTTGGGTCACAGTGTTTGTGGCCCAATGTTGTCAGGCTGATGATAGATTGTACAGTGTGGTCTTATCTGCTGAGCCAGGGTAAGCTGTCTCAAATTCCATCCAGAACAATTATGGGCCTTCTAATCAAAGAATTTTATAGGAACATCTTACGAAATGTCATTGTCACAAATATCACAAATACGATTTAGAAGACTACTCTTCATAAAATGAAACTATTTCTTTTATCAGAGTGGTGCTACACTTTGAATTCATCTCCAGTGCTCCAGTACCCCAGCATACGTGTGCTGGAACAAGCTCATAAGCTTATAAAGGCATGCTGGGCAGTTGTCAGATCCTATTTTTAAACTGTTTCTGAGAAACGCTTCTGTCTCCTATCTCTGTGTAGTCATAGGAGAGGCTATACTTCATGCAGGAGCCACGATGTCTGGGCTCAGCTAACAATAATTTTTGAACCTGAGTATCTCCTCTTCAGAGACAGTAGAATTGAATGTGTGCTGACTTCTCTCGGGAAGGAGAGATGACAATAACTAGAAAATAGTGGTAATGTGCTATTGAGTCCTTGACTGTCAGTACCAATAATAAAAGATACAGGTCGCTTTGCTCTCATGACCAGTGACAGAACTTGAGGAAATGGCATGAACTGTGTCAGGGGAGGTTTAGGTTAAATATCAGGGAAAAGTTTTTCACCCAGAGGGTGGCTGAGCACTGGAAGACGCTCCCCAGGGAAGTGGTGTCAGCACCAAGCTGAGTTCAAGGAGCATTTGGACAACACTCTCAAGGCACATGCTGCCATTTTTAGGGATGGTCCTGTGCAGGGCTAAGAGTTGGATTTGATGATCCTGATGGGTCCTTTCCAGCTTGGCAAATTCTGTGATTCTAGGTCTGTGGTGCTTGACAGTCTAGCCAAACTTTACACAAATCCTGATGGCTATTGTCAGGGAACCTGCTTCGCTGTTCTCAAGGGAAGACAAGAAGAGTTGAGAGCTGGAACACTTGAAATGGGGTCTCTTCTTGTGAATCTTCAACATAACAGGTTTGCTTAATCTGCTACTGATTTGTAGTACAATTGTGTGGCACTACTGTATGCCACTTCTGAATTTTCACTAACTCTGGAAAATCGTATAAAAATGCAAATGGGTTTCGTAGGCAAGCAGAGCTAGTATTTTAAAAAATGGCTTTTTCTCCGTGTCTCACATTGCGTCCTTTAGACTAGGCATGAAATACAGACACTGTATATGGGTGTTAACATACTCCTGCTGTACTGGGGTGGGAATTGCAAAATTGAAAGACCACTTCAGAGAATATATATTGTGTGGCTTGGGGCAAAAAATAATACTGGTGAAACATTTAGACTTGACTTTGTCTCTTAAAATTGGTAGACAGGGATATTTCAAACTGGAGAAAGTACTACGAAGAGGAAGAAAAAGAATCATGCTGCTATAAAATGAATTATACAGTGATCCTATGTGTCTTAGAACTCTTCTGAGACACTCTTGGGACCCTGCAGTTGCTAGTGTAGACCTAACTGATGGGAGGAATCATCATTTCAAAGCATTATTGGGACTGTAGCCTGAAGGCTGTAGCTAAGCCTGCACTGCTTCTTAGAGTTGACAGTGCAGGGTCTTCTGTTTTTTCTTTTTCTAGAACAGGCAAGCTGTTCTTCCACACTTTCTGCAGATTGTCCCCTGCAAATAGTGCGCTGCAGACTGTGCAGCACAGATATTAATGGCCTTATAAGTGCAGCTGTTACATAAATTGGTTTGTCTTCTGTTTTAATAATCCTGTTCCCATTTAAGTAAATTGAAGTTGTTAACAGAAATCAAGGAGAAGAGCAGCTATCTGAATTCTACCTTGAGGCTAAGTGTTAGTGCTTATAGGAGGGAGGGGAACTTATCATTGGACCTATTTTAACCTCATCCTACAGTTAGCAAGCAGGGTAATCTGTTTGAAGGGTATAATACCTTTTGTCTGTTTACTTAACTGGTCCTTCATATTTCAATAATGCAATGACACTGAAGTAGGTTCTAAAACTGTTTCCTCATTTAAAACAAAACAAACTCCTCCAATTCCACATATTTCTGCAACCTAGTAAGAATATTCATATACTTTGGTCCTCTTTCTGTTCAGTGTAATGGCTCTGCCTTACCTAGTCTGATTAGGTCCGTAGGCTTCAAATTTCTTCTATGATTTAATCCTCACATCCTTCCAATGTGTTTTGTAAATAACATATCACAAGTAGGCAGAGCTGTGTACAAATGCTGCTTCTGTATAGAAGTGGCTTGCTTAAAAGTACTTGTGTGTGTCTGTAGATGCTGCATGAAGGTTGGATTTTTCCCTGTAGCCCACCTATGTATTGAGAAAAGTGTTTTGCTCTGGGTGCCTCTTCTTTGCTTGAGTAGTGTTGAGCAACATTTATGTACTGATTGAACTCAGTACATAAATGTAAACTCTATATAACATATACTCATGTAAACTCTACATTCTGTTTAGAATGCACATATTATATGTCTAAAATATCTGTTGCATCTTTCTAGAAATAAGATGTTGCAGTCTTGGATCACATTTCAAATCCAAAGCCTTTAAGGGATGTCTGAAGTAACAGTTTAAGTAGTGGGTGTTTCTTGCATGATGCAAGAATAGGTATTGTTTTACAATTGGTATTATTTATCCTTCTACGTTGTTGGTTCCTACTATAGTAATAGACAAGCAAAGAGGAACAAAAACCCTGAACTGCGTCCAACAAAGCAGGTCCAGTAGACCTCGTTTTTCTTTATGTATATTTCTAAGATTCTTGGTTGAATCTGAATTTTGGATGTGCCCAGTTGGCACTGGAGTGAGGGAGAGGTCTTTGCTGCTTAGAAACACTTCAACTGTGGTTCATAAGCTGAAATCTTGCTCTGTTTGTCATATGATAAATAAAGATGAGATGTTTCATTAAACTCATTTGCTTTTCCCTTACATAAGGCTAAAGTAAGCACTTATTTTAATATGTATTTTTTAGTCTCATTAAGCAGGAGCATGTCTGACATGATACCTTTTTGAAACTCCCTTAGTATCAAATACCTGATGCTCAACTAGAAATGTTTGAAGGGGACTCCTGCTCTGTCTCTTACAGGGAAAAATAAGAATTGAATATAATCTTCTGAAAACATAGTACACATACACAGCATGTACACGAGGTCCATTTAGCCTCTTTAAAGTAGCTGTTTTTCAGCACATATAAGCTGAAACAGTGAAAGCACAAAATAGCAATATATGTGAATGACTTGCATGTGATTACAGATGACCAAAGGGAGAATGATGGAGCCTCTACAGGTAACTGCAGCTCTTTAAAGGGATGGGTTAAACCAAAGGATGTATTCCTGATGTTAACCAGAGAACAGTTGCTAGAAAAGCATTCTCATCAACATGTGTGGGTTTTCTAAGCTATTGTTCACTTAGTGTTTAAAAAAATGGGACTGAAAAAATTCTGATTTTGTGTGCATCATCAATAGAGCTAGCTGCAGCAAAAGGGTGGGCTGTAAGAAGGAAACCTAACTACAATCTGGCTGTCTTGGTTGGAAAAGAAGCAGGCCTAACCTGTAGTTCTTGAACATTGTACAACTTTTAAGTAGCTCAGGGGTATGTATGTCTGTGATCTGCTGATCACAGAAATTATGAAAACAGAGGCATTGTCTGCAACTATGGAATTCTGAAAGACTGGTTTAGGTGGGATCTGCATGTGAGTAACATCCCTATTTCAAGCAGTTATGCTGCATCCTCCATCACATGATTCCTAGCTGTTGTGCAACAGGAAAGCCTAGCTTTTTTCCATTCATCTTCTGGAGCTCGTGGAGGGAAACACAGATTGGACTTGTATTTAACTATAACTTCCTTCCTATTGGGAACTCACGTCTGAACTGTTACGGATTTCTGGCCATGTGGTATACTTTGGTTTCCTGCCCATATGTGAAATTTGAGTAAGCATTGGAGTCTCAGGGTTCGGGAGGGTGACTGGGAGACATCTTTATGTGCAAATAAATTCCATGATTGTCTCCTTCCCCAGCTTTCTGCATGGGTACAACTAGGTATACTTTATGGTATATCATGCTCAGCTGGTAATATGTATGAGCTAGCAATACAGCATGTAAGGTTTATTTAAACTTTCTTATTCTCAAACTTAAGGACTCTTTCTTTAAAAACTTAAGATAGTTTTGCTATTGTACAAGTAAGATTCTGTGTTACTTCCAGACATTAAAAGAAAATGACTGGATTGGAGGCTAGCTCAAAGAATTACAATTTTATGCCTGAATTTTCACCTGCCAAACAGACTGCCAGAATCAGCTTGTAGGTTTTCTATACAGTAGATAAATTGTGAGAAGTGATGGAAAGTGGCTGAAGAATGAGGAAGATTGCTGAAGAATCAGCGGCACAGAATAGGATGGTGCTTATCTTTAATTAGATATACCTTTTGCTTTGAATCCTGTTTTGGAACTGTGTGTTTGTGCCCAATCTCCTTTTGTAGCTTTCTGAAAGGGAAGTTGCAGCCAGAACATCAGTAACCTTTTAAATGCAGGAGAAACTGGAGTAAGGAAGCCTATGAGCATGCATGCCTCCAAAGTTCTGCCAATGCTCTGTACCACTTAAGTCTGTCTGAGTAGCATAATCAGTCTTGTGTTTTACAACTCTCAATTATTGGGAATTTAACTTTAGTGTTTATAGATGGTAGTAGAAAGAACATGATTTATTGCGGTCTGATTTTTATACTGTCATGGAAAATCCATTTGGTAGCAGCTGACTGTATGTAATCATTTCTATTTTGTAATGTATGTGATTTTTTTCTTTTTTTTTCCCTAGCTATTTGCTCACTGTTTAACTTCGGGTTTTCTCCAGAATATTGTTACAGAGGTGCTTGTTTCCTTTGTTTTCTAATGTGAAAGAGAGACTCTGCTAAACCTGCAGATTTTTCAAGAGAGAGCAAGAGGTGCTCAAAGGGGGAAGTTGGTGCTCAAGCTCACGAGTCAGAATAGGCTTGTAGCTTGTAGTGACAGCTTAACTGACCGGCAGGAAGAGAACTATAGTTTAAGAACACAGTTGGCAACAGGCTCATGTCTACCCTCAGAAAAGTAAACTTTCCTGCCACAATCTCCTGATCTGTTTGGATAATGATAAAAAAAAAAATAGTGGGCAAAACCCAAGAGTTCTGTGACTGCTTGACCAGAGTATAAATATTTCAGGCTTTATTGAGTGCTTGCGCTTAAATGTTGCAGCAAGACTGTCTCAGTTATTTTTAGGTTGGGGGAGCAGGAAGAGTGCTTGTTTCCTGTCTTCCCCTCCCCCAGGAACCTGGGGTACCTTAGATGAGAAGAAGAGTAACAACCCCTGAGCTGGTTTATCAGTTCCAATTGAACAATATCAGTACATTTCCTGACTCCCTTTGTGGAGGGGGGAGCACAGCTACGGCAGTTACATTGCAACACTTTGACAATATTCTTCCTTTTGAAACAACACAAAGGCATCAAACTGAAACAAGCTGCAGCTTATTTGATAGTTCTGGTATGAACAGTCCCCAAAACATGGCTACTAAAGCTTGTAACTAGAATCAGTCTCCAGCAACTCCAGTTGCTGTTATGGGAACTTTGATGCTGTACACAGCCATGACTAACATGAGAAATCAGTGAAACTGAATATTCCAGTGCTTCTTAGTCATTATAGCATTGATGCATTTAGGTAACGACCATTAATGTCTTCACATCAACTGCTACTTCTCATGTACATAGCTACAGATTACTCCTAATTGTACATGTTGATGCATACAAAGGAATATGATAACTTGTAACAGCACCCACCTAGTTTGAGCTATACCAACCTGCTTCACTTGACAGTTCAGGGTTTTTTGTTATCTTAATCCATAGAGGCATAAAGAAATTCATAGTAGTGCCTTGGATTTTCTCTTAAGGGGCAGAGGCAAAAAATGCATATGGTCCTGGTTACTGGTACTGTAAAAATTGTGTAAGACAACACAATTATTTCTTTTCTTGTTGCATGAGTATTGGCAGCAGTACACAGGTGTTAACTTTGGGAGGAAAAGTGTCTGGGTCTCTTGTGTGTATCTCATGTTTGCAATTGATTTGACTTACCCTTAGTAAAAATAATCACTCTTCGTGACAAAAATCAGTCTGCAGCAATCCCCCTAGAAGTATGAAGCTTCTTGGCACTGTGAAGCATGTGCAGAACAGGCCTAGAATCACACAGGCAAGAAACAGTTAAATACTAGCTTTGGCATGCAGAAGTGTCCCCATGTGTGGAGGCAGGATATGGAACAGCAGGCTTGTCCTAGTGTGCTCCTCCAGCAGCTACACAGAAATGTCACTACTGTGTAGAACTGTGTTTTTCTCCGGTCTTCTGCGTATTTTCCACTTACTTAGTGATGATGGTTGTACTCTCTTCAGGGATATTGGTTTGCAGTTTGGTCTGGGGTTTTGTTTCGTTTAAAATCAAGACTTTAGAAACTGAACAAATCTACTTCTTACTGTGATTCATCCTGCTGAAGCAAAAATTTCATGCTGGTATTAACTGCCATGGAAAACTAGCTATGTCTGAGAGGATAGCAACTGAGAAAACAATTTTCAAAATCTTGAACTCCGGAAAAAATGGAGTGTCTACTTACAGAAAGACTTGCAACCTCTTGCATCACTACTTAGGCACAGGCAGTCAGACCTTAATTCCCTGATGTCTGAATCATGCTCATTCAGTTAAAAAAACATAGCCGTGTGGTCACTTGACTAGTGAGAAAGTTAAACAATTCCATTTGGCCTCAAATGTATTTTTTACTTGCAGATGAAAATCAGTTATTTTGCAGCTAGTTAAGCTTCTTCATCATAGTTCTATAGATTTGTGCAGTTTGCACTGCAGCTCCATCCAGGAGATTCTCATTTTCTTACAGTTAGGTAATAAACTAAACCGTGTGAACACTAAGCTAGTCAAATGTTGATAGGAGTGCCTTTATCAAAAGATAAAAAGGAGGCCTTGTTATTAAGCACAATATAAACATAAGCTGAAGTGGTGAATCACATGAAGGACAGGGGCTTAAGTCAACATACTTTCCCTTCAGCCCATGGAACCTGCAAACTGCAGACAAGTCCTTTGTGGGTATGGAAGGGTCCAAACGTAAACAGAGCACCTCCTGTTGTTCTTGATAGAGTTGTAGGTGGTAAAATTGGGGCTCCAAGGGGGATCATGCTCCAGTTCTTGGTTTTATGCTTCAGAATAAAGTCTTTTACTGCTTATTTGGGAACTCACCAAAAAACTTGTCTGAGTTATGAACCTTTCATGGGAAAAGAGTATATCCATGTGGTGGGTGGGGGGTTTTGATGGGTGTGGTTTAAGAAGCTTGTGTTTCACAATAAGCCTTTCACAATTCCTGATGCTGGTCTGGTTATACACGCCTTAGACACGTGAAACAGATGTCATTTAGCCATGGATAATGTAGCCTGTTCACATGTCCCTTGCAGGCTGAGAATAACATTAGCTAAATTTAGAAGACTTGGATGAATTCTTCATATAGTGGTCACCCTGGACTGCTCTGAGCTGTGTATGACCATGTATTACTGGTAATTACTTATAATTACACCAACATCTGAGTAGAAAAGAAGAAGAAACCACTTGGTTAAAGCTTTTTGATATTGTTTAAAGATCAAAATATTAGGATGCAAGTAGTAGGTTGATATATGTGTAAATTGAGAGAGAGAGAGAGAGAGATATACACACGCGTAATAAGGCTAAAGGGAGTGCATTAAGATGAAATTAAGGACTTCTAGGTATGAAGGCCACACTGAAAGCTAAAGGAAGGGGACAAGGCAGTTGTTGAGGTAAGAGGATATCAAGCAAATAACATGGTGAGCTTATCCAGGCCTGTAGTGAAGGGAGCCATCTTTAGCAACAGCAGAAGAACAGGAAGCCTTACGTGAGAAACCTGCTGAAACTTGATGTCTGTCAGCTAATGACACCTGTCATCAAGGAATCACTGGAGCAGTCTGCTGGATCTGGAATCATGGGATGAACAGAAAGCACTGAGACAGCTGGTGGAGTTGTTAGCTTGGCCTGTGGACTGGAGGAGTCATGGGGCTGTTTGGGCTGGTTGGAAGAAAGAATATAACTAGTTGGGTAGTAACCCAACTCAGTGAAAAGTGATTAGCGGTAGGGCCGTGTTGATAAGGGTGACTGAACGAGTTCAACTCAATGTTGAAACACTGCCAGCTTTGTAATGTGCCTCAACTAGGAATTGGTATGTGGGGGCCCATTGTGGGGGTGAGGGGCAGTCGTGGCTTGAGGTGTTCTCTCTGAGTGCTCTTCACCAGTCCTAAGGGCTGTTGTTCCAACACCATAGCGTAGTGCTCTATTGCTTCAGCTGTTTATCATTTGTAGGAGTATGCTGTGAACAAGGGAGTGATCTGATTAACAGGGAGATCACTTTTTCCTACCCTTGAATATAACTTTAGAGTTGGGGCTCGGAGTGGATCTAAGATTAGTCAAAATACAGGCAGAGATTTTGTATGGTGTGAAACAGAGTACATCCAGGCCCATACTGCTGCAGAAACATCTCTTCCTCCTTTTTTTTGCTACTCTTTAAATCATGTAAGTGGATTTTCCAAAGCACATCAGGCAACTAGAAACTCTTGGATTGAGGAATTCTGTTACATAGGAAGTCTAAGGCAGAGACGGGGCAAAGTCTCATTAAAGGCATTAAATATTACCATGAGATGCTGTTAGCTGTAGTCTCAGTTTGTCACAGTTTAACAAAACTATTTCTGCAAGAAGTGAAGCGGGGATCTTTTACTGATAACACGACAAGAAATAAATTAGGCAACAATATGCAGCATGTAATTATAAACTTTATAAAACAGGGGGGTCCAGTGGCCCAGACAGTCTGTTCTGACATTTCTTAACTTTTTCCTGCTTGATTTCATGGTGTTACAAAACATAACGAAGATGAGTAGAACTGGATTTTCTGCAAGTGTGTGTGTTCTGAGCATCAAACACTTTTCACTTTCATTTCATGGATTAAAATAATGCAATAAAAACAATGAGCTTAATGACAGAGCAAGTCCTGCTTTCATAGACCTTTTTCTGCCACCCCCCTTGCCTTTCCGTGGTAACTCCAGTACCTCATGAGTTACTAGTAATGCTGGCAGAGACCAATGTTTACAACTCAAGTCTGTTTTTTGGATACAGGCTTCGATCTTCTCTAGCAAATTAAAGCCAGATGGAAACGGCAGGGAGCAGAATGGAATTTAATTCTGTTATGTGGCTTGTGATGTTAACAAAACTCTTTGGTAATTTTCATTGTTATTTTGCCTGGAAAATGGCTTGTACCTTCCTTCTGTGCAGTTACTGTAATGTGCAGTCTTCTTACAGCAGTTCACCTCAGCACACGGGAAGCCTTTGCTGAGATATGTTGCTTTACTTCCACTGCAGTGACAGACAATGGTATAATCATATTATGTTTTTGTGGAGTGGTTTGGGGTTTTTTCCAAGTGAAAGGATCAAAACTAGTTAATCCAGACAGAAAAGCTTTTTCCTCTGTTCTTGCACAGCTGATGGAGGTGAAGTGCAGTTGTTTTGCAACGTTTAACAAGTCTTTCTCCTTTCTCCCTTAAACTACCATAGGTGAAAGTACAATAAAGGAATACGCGTTGAAGTCCGAGGAGGGAGGCAGGCTCAGTCACCCAAAACTTCAGTGGTTTCCAGGATCTGTGTTGCAGACAGGATAAGGATTTTTTTCAGTGCAGTTAATGCTGGGCTTTTTACGCTGGTTTCTCAGAGGAAAAGACTCAACATGTTGAATCACAGAGACGTTGCTTCCTGCTGGGGTTTGGGATTTCCTTGCATGGCTGCAGGAGCTGTTTTTGCATAGTGCATCCTCTCAGGCAGGAACTTGCTGGAGATGAAGACAGAAGCCAAACAGTTCTGTGCAGAATGTAATAGTTTCTGACTCAAATTGTGTGGTAATTGTCAAAATATCATAGGGTGTGGTAGGAACTCCTGTGTCTAACATTGCTGAGGATTTATTCCTTTGTAACTTGCCTAAATGAACATAATATGCTAATGTCAATTAACATATGAAAGCGGGGGAAAGATTTCTTGATGTTTTCTAGTCATTTGAAACCTGATAGTGTGCAAAAATAAATTTCAGTATGCTGGAGTATTCATGTTCTCTGGTTTTTTTTCCCTGGTTGCTCGGTCTTAATTCCTATTCTTTCTGATTTCCCACAGAAAGAAAGAAAAACCATTGCTGTAGCTTCAAAAATACTAACTCAGTAAAACTTTGAGCACTGGAAATATGATAGAGCTTCTAAATACTATTTAGTTTCACTAGGAATTAAAAATATGTAAACCTGGAAGTTGCTGTAGTAAATTGATACATAATATTTTGACATACCTATTTGCTTCATACAGCTGTTTTTTTCCTAGAAGGAAAGTATTCCTAACAGTTTGTTACAGTACTGAGTTCCAGTGTCAAATACAAGATAGGCACATTTACTGTGAAGAAAAACTTCAAGAGAATTCATATGAACTCTAGTTCTTCAGTAATTGTTCTTGATAAACCAGGTCTTGCAGCTTCAAGAGGCAAACAGGAAAGGGATTGGGGGGAAGTGATGATAGTCCAATTTTCAGGAAGATCAACTCCGGTTGGGCGCTAGGCTTTCTGAATATGGAATAGTGTGAAACAGTGCATTACTCCCGTATGCTCTTTTTTCACGTTATTTCAGGTTTGCTGTCTTTTTACCCTGCAGTGCTAAAGGAGAGCTCTGAAGGACAGCATTTCTCTCTCAGCTTTTAACCTCTGATGTTCTTAGTCCAGTCCTTGTACAGCAAACAGTTTCTTTTAGTGGACCTTCCTCTGGTGCTGTTTGGAGGAAAGGGACAGAGTTGATCTTAGCAGTGTCTGAAACAAGCAAAGGGCTACCTGAAGTTGTTAAACCTAATGTCTTAGTGTATCTGGAAAAACCCCTTCATAGGGTAATCCTTCCCAGCACATTCCATTAAAATGTTTCCAGTGCCTTTGTGTTTTCTTCTATGGGCTCTAGTGATCCTAGGACATGAACTGGCACCTGAAGCAGTACCAGAGGTGCAACTTCTCACTTCATTTTAAATAAGTGAATCTTCCATCCCTAAATAGAGTTCTTGCTGCGTTAAAAAGGGCTATTTATTTTAGTTAGATAGAGTCTGTGGATGTAATTTGGCATAATATGATTTTTTTCAAGCATTTTTTAATGAAAATTTTCCTTAATGGTGAATGACAGATGTATAAACTAGTGTTAGACTCTGTGTGTGTGTGTGACTGTTTGTTAAAGGAAAAGCATGTTTTCGTAGTGTGGTTTTTGGACTTCCAGACAGATTACACAAGCTCAAGAAGGCCCACCCCACATCCTGTGTAGAAAACTAGCTCACAGACATGCCCATTGTTCTTCAGGATTATAAGTTACTGTATTTTCTGCCTGCTTTCTGTTTCGAAGTACTGTATGGAAAATACTAATGCAAAGGAACCACAGCAGCTTAACAAGTGCTTGGTCCTGCCAGGTACTGAGCACTGGGCCCTTACCGAAAGGCTGGGGGGCTGGGATTAAAACGTTAGGCTCCCTGAATAGAGAACAAAGGTTTTGTGTTGGTAAAAGTAGCTGAGAATGTTTTATTAGCTATGTCAGTCAATTGATAATTGACATACTTTCAGCCTGAAAGTTGTTTGTATGCAGCCATGCCAGTATTTACTGTCTTGGGGAAGGAGTTACAGAGTATGCATTTTGCTTCAGGCATGGTGAATTCTCCTCAACATTGCTTCACCACTGCTCAGTCATGAACTGCAAAGGAGAGAATGTGGGGTATCTAGAACTAATACCCCTCCAAAGAGATAATGATTAGTGTTTCTGAATCTCTACCCATGTTTATTGCTCAGTTGTGTGTTATTCCATTTGCAAGTTAATGGACCTATCCTTAAAGAAAGGAGTTATCAAGCAAAAAGTGGTAAAATCTGTTCACTTTTTTTTTTTTTTTTAATTTAACCTCCATTACCATCCTGGAGCTTAGTTTTTAGAAAGCTGAGGTGCTGTATTTCATTCTTCATTTTTGATTTTCAAACAGGAGAAATGTTTCAATGTGAATTTTAAAATCCTCATATTACGGTTTTCTTACTGTAAAAAAACAACAACTTGTATTTTTCCTAGAGTTCAGTACCCGTTTAAGACCAAAACATTTGTTATGATAATACAAATGTAGCTAAGCAGAAGGCTTCCATGAGAGTGAGGCTGTGTCCTGCTTTTCTGCAGTCCTCTGAAAGGAATCACCTCCCTTTAGTCTCTGCCAGTCTCCTGACTGTGCAGCATTCCCAAAACATGTGGCCCATAAAATGGGATTATAGGGAAGGCATTCAAGTAAACAGAAGTTCCCTCTGGACGAGATTTGGTTTTTCATGCAGAGCTCCTGTGTGCTGGATCCTGGCACGGCAGCCTCATTCCCTCACCAGGAACGAATTCTCCTCTTAGTGACCCCAAGAGTGAGAGACCATTTAGGGCACCTCCATATTTTGGGGATAGTCTCCTCCTGGTTGGCACAATGAAGCCCGCCTTTGCGGAGTTTTTGGAAGGACACACCCAATTACAAGTTAAGGGAAAATAGTCCTTTCTGTGTCTCTTCAGTGTCTGTATGTAACAATAAATGACCAGTCTCATGATGTGGCTGTAGCTGCCAAAAATCCGCAGTGAATGTACAGCTGTATCAGTCATTAATTGTACAGTATTGCTAAAGTGGCTCAGTGCTTTTTTGAATTGTATTCAAGGCTAAGTAGCTGCTTGAAGGTAAAAACCTTTGTGCTTCTATGAGCACACAGGTAAACTGGTGGCTAGTAGTGTATTTCTGTGATTTCATGGTTCTATTCAGGCTGTTTTGTTGAAAGTACACAATCTGGGATAGGTTCAGTCTGCATTTGGAGTACTTTCAAGTTCTTTGTTGAGACTAAATTGTATTGGTCTCAGCAGGGAACATTTCCAGACCTGCTCCCTGCATCTAGTCCTGGCCTCAATAACTCAAACTGTCATTGCTGCTCCACAGGATTATGCTATGTGGGATATCAGGGCACAAAGCCTTCTAACCTGGGTTCCTTTCACTGTAGTTCTTTTTCGTATTTTTAAAAAACATGTCTCAAATAGATGTTGTTCTTCTACCTTTCCAGTGGATGCTAGTCATCAGGGGAATGGTTCAGTCAGTAGTGTTCCCCTTATCATAGAATGATTTGGATTGGAAGGAATCTTAAAGATCATCTAGTTCCATTGGCAGGGACACCTTTCACTAGACCAGGTTGCTCAGGGCCTCATCCAGCCTGGGCTTGAACACTTTCTAGCATGGAATATCCAGGAAGAAATATCTGCAGCTTCCCTGGGGGTAACCTGTTCCAATGTCTCACCACCCTCACAATAAAAAATTTCTTTTTAAGAGGTAATTGAAACTTGCCCTCTTTCAGTTTAAAGCCATTCCCCCTTGCCCTTGTAGCAAGTCCTTCTCCAGTGTTCTGTAGGCCTCCTTTGCATACTGGAAGGCTCCTGACACCAGTAGTGAGGCTTCAGGAGCCAATGGCCTTGGCTTGGCTTCCTGGAGGTGCTGCTATGTACCACAGCATGGAGGCTTGTATTCCAGGGAAAAAGCAGCAATTGTGAATATTGTCCTTTAAATAACAGGAATTCATAAATTCCTTTAGGTGACTGTTCCAGACATACCCTGTGTTTTGTCCCATTGTTGATGTGCTACTGGTATTGGTGAGGAATGTGATAAGAGATCTCTACAGAATGGAAGACTGCACTCTGCCTTTGGACAGCACAGCCTTACATTTTTGACTTTACCTTTTTTAGAGCTGGCTCTGAACAGAAACAGTTAAACTTCTTGTAATTGTGGAGCCTTGACTCAATAGCAGCACTGAGAATTTTCAGTTTTCTGAAGAAACGTATGTAAGAAATTCTCATTTTTTGTTTCTGCACCTGCTGCAAAGAAGTAGAACAGCCCTGGGAAACAGGCAAGGCAACCCAGTTCCTGCCACTGTCAAAAGCAGCTAATTCATTCATTCGTGTACCCCCCATTGTAACCGAAGCAAAGAATTATTCACTGTGGCTTCTAAATCAGGAGTCGCTATTCTTTCTCTTGTTGTTTGGTTTCTTTTGAAAGCCTGTACAATGGGGAGCACACTTATAGAATTAAGGGAGGTAGATTTGGGGACTGTAGCTCACACCACAGGTGACTGCATTCAGTAATGTCATTGTCACAGCTGTACACAGCTTTTGTTTCTAGAGGGTCAGATTCTCTGCCCTCATCTATAGGAGGGTATAAATGAGAGAAAGCAGGCTGACTTAATTTGATAGCAGACTGCTTAATCCTGTTTAAGGTTGGGATTTTTTTGGAAGGTCTTTGATTTCAGGGTTTATTTTGTAGAGAAGCCCATGTAAAAGCTGGGGCTGAATTAATCTGTCATTTGCTACATATCCATTGATATTTTTATTATATTTCAACTGTATAATAGTTAAACAGGATTGTTAAATAAAATTTCCTGAAGGTAAAGGAGGTTAATTATATTTTTAATACCTACAGGTTTATAAGATCTGATGCTGAATTATGAGGAGAAGTAACGACATATTTACTGTATTTTCTAAATGTTAGGTAGATGTTACAAATACAACAGCAGGGAACTGAAAATGTCATGTGAGTAACAGTATTTCATTTAGTAGTTTGTGCGTAGGATCATTTATGTTTGTACAAACAGGCAGTTTATGAACAGGCTTTTGAGGGGAATGATACATTGCTAAGGCTGCAGTATTTTGTATTATGCTGTACAGATTCAGTATCGTAAATCAAAGGATTTGTGAGCTTCCTTCCCTCCCCAGCCAGTCCACCTGCATACCAGCACTGTCAGGCAGGTGAACTTGCAGTGAGCTGGATCAGCAGAAGAAACCTCACTTTTCTTGCAGTGGGCGATTGATGTGAGTGTAGCTCTGTGGATGGCTGGTTACAGAGTCAAATAAACGTCAGTGCAAGGAAAGCAGGAGGGGAAACCTGTTTTGGCAGCAGTCAGCAATCAGATTGGCTTTGTGGTTTTGTGAGGTCCTATCTGTAAGTTATATGCACATTTGTAACTCTGGAAAGCTGTGGTTGTTGACGGTTTTG